CCTCGTCGCCAAACACGGTACGCCAGGCGTCGCTCAGACGGGCGAAGCAGCGGGACGGTGTATGACTACGTGTCCCACAAGGCTGACCAGTCCGAGTACTAGTGCGAATCACGTAAGAGCAGCGAACAGCACTGAGAGACCCTCCACTCTGAGCGTACCACTCACGAAGCTGGCGAGGCGTGAGAGACACGCGAGAGGGTCGCGGGAGCTGCATCTGGCCGCCACCACGAGTAGAAGCAGCAGGAGTGGTAGTAGGAGTAGCGTCGCCACCCCTACAGCCCCAACCACCGTACCACTCACGCAGCTGCTGGGGCGTGAGGGACTCACGCCGGCGTCGCTGGGGCTGCATTTGGCTCCGCAAGTAGAAGCAGGAGCAGGACTAGCAGCAGGGAGGCAGGCAGCCAGGCAAGCCAAAAGGCAGGCAGGCAGGCAAGCAGGCGACGCGCAGCGTGCTAGCAGGGCAAGAGCTCACCAGTGGTGGGAAGAGTAGGCTCGGCGACTCAGCGGCTCGGCAGCTCGGCGGCTCGGCGGCTCGGGCGACTCGGGCGGCTCGGCGGCAAGGCCGCTCAGCAGCAACTGCAGCTCAGCAGCCCGGTGACTCGGCGGCTCGGCGGCAGGGCGGCTCGGCAGCAACTGCAGTTCAGCAGCTCAGCGACTCGGCGGCTCGGCGGCAGGGCGGCTCGGCTGTGGGGCGGCTCGGCTGGTGCAGGTGAGCGGCTCGGCTGCTGCAGTGGGAGAGGAAGGAGGAGGAGAAGCAGGGGAGGCCACACACCTGACACCCCTCCGCAAGCGGCCCCCTCAGGTCGCCTCGACAGGCGACGGGAAAAGGGGGGGGGTGGGTGGTGGGGGGGGGCCGGTAGGTGCAGCGGCGGGGCCAGCAGGTGCAGTTGCGGGGCCGGTAGAAGGGGACGGCAGGAGCCGTCAGGAGGGGACGGCGGGGCCGTCAGGAAGGGACGGCGGGGCCGTCACGAAGGGACGGCGGGGCCGTCAGGAGGTGACCGGGCCGCGACGGGGGCAGGCGGCGGGGCCGCGTAAGGGCATGGGCAGGGCCGCGACAGAGCCGTCGGCGGGGCCGCGTGAAAGCCGGGGCGGGGCCGCTTAGAAGCCGGGGCGGGGCCGCGCGAGAGCAGGCGGCGGGGCCGCGAAGGAGCCGGGGCGGGGCCGCGTGAGAGCAGACGGCGGAGCCGCGTAAGGGCCTGGGCGGGGCCGCGACAAAGCCGTCGGCGGGGCCGCGTGAAAGCCGGGGCGGGGCCGCGTAGAAGCCGGGGCGGGGCCGCGCGAGAGCAGGCGGCGGGGCCGCGAAGGAGCCGGGGCGGGGCCGCGTGAGAGCAGGCGGCGGGGCCGCGACAGAGAGGGCGGCGGGGCCGCGTCAGTGAAGGCGGCGGGGCCGCAGGGGAAATGGCGACCCGAGGGGTCGCTAAAAAAAAGATCGCGCCTCGGGGGGCGCTTCGGTGGGCCCAAAAAAAACGGTCCGTAGAAGGACCCGCTCTATACCATGAGAGAATAAGCGAACAGGAATGGATCAACTAGAAGTGAAAAGAGTACAAGTAGTAAACCCTAGATTTGTGTACCCCCTATAGGCTAACCCACTGTAGCCTACACAAGTATAACATATATAATGTTTGACAAGGAGCACCGCCATGCATAGTAGCAACGGAACCCTTCTTTCGCCTAGGGAAGGAGCGGTCGTCGTCACCGCTGTCGTCGTCGACCTCGCTTTCGCCACTGACGTTTTCGTCCACATCGTCCGCTGCTTCTAGCGCCGGCGAAAGTGTGACAGGCAAGTTACCGTCAGCAGATCCAGCGTCTAGTATTGGGTCTACCTCGGGCTCTAATGGCAAATCGCGACCTACGTCAGCCTTGTCAGCACCGTGCTCGTCCGACGACAGCTGGTCGTCGACGAGATCTGGTGCGACGAAGTTGGCAGAGTCAGAAGTGGAGGAGCTCTTGCGGGTGAACTCAGCACTGACTTGAGAGAGCAAAATTTGAAGTTGCTCAGGCGACATCCCATGCAGATTTATGGTCGAGTTATCAGGCTGGTTACCGGCTGAACCTTCATTCGCAGCCGTAACAGAATGTCTTCGCCCAGGTAACGTAACACCAAGTGCGCCATTATTGTACCTTGCAGGCACCACAACGGGTCTTTGAGGGCGGCCTGGAGGAGGGTCATTTCCAGGAAGGGTAATAGGGCGTTGGTTCACCATCTCGGCAGAAACAAAAACTGGGGTTTGAGCTGAATAGTCGCACAAACCATATTTCTACAATCGTTTGCAGCTGAGAAAAATTGGCGGGGAGCTCCTAATTGGTCGTCGAAAGTGGTTGGAAGTCGCTGGGGCGATTGGTCGAGCTTTGTACCAAGCGACATCGTTGCTGTTGCAGCGCGACATGAGCAATATCGCACACCCTCACCGTGGGCTCACGACGAATCGCGATACCGCACTGCAGTCAGTTTCCGTGGAGGTGACCACGGTACATCCTCCACGTGGACCTAGACGAAGGTATTCCAGCAAACGTGGCGACTCCAACTCAAAAGCAAGGGAAACACGGTGACTGTATTAGCTAGAAACATGAGTTTTAGGGCAACGATTTCAAGCGCACGTCACTCCCTTCTCCCACAAAGTAGGTACACGATTGTGGTGCCTGCTTTTTCAAAATCTGTACAACAATCAGTACTCAATATATACAAATATACAAAAAAAAAGCCATCAAAACAAAAAATGGTTGAGGAACCATGTCTGGCCTGCAGACTCAAGCTGCACAAATTGAACAGCTCTAAGAATGGAAGCTGTCTCTACAACCTTGTACCTTTGAGATACCCCTTCTAAACAGAATTGCCGGCAGCCAGTCAATTCATCTAACGCGTTATGCTCAATATAATACCTCACGAATGCGAATTCGCGTCGATCTAGACCATGGCCGACATGGAATAGTAGCAGAACCTTGCCGTACCACTCCGATCCTATACCTTGGATAGCAACATCACTGAACCAAACTTCCTTGTGGAATAGCGGAACCGTTCGGATACGGTGTGGGGTGCTAGAAAAAGCCTCGTCCGTCGCGGGTGGCATGGCCAACTCAACATGAACCTGTACAGCAGTTGTGTGCCACATATTGCATCATTAGTAAAGGCATAACGTAATTGTTGCCGGGCGTGCAACAAACAAATGCGTGCTAAGGGTAACGTACGTAAATTGTGTCGATGTTCGGGCCGTTGGGTACGTCACGATCGATGGAACGACGAAGATATGGGAGGTCGTTATGTAGGTTGTCCAGATACAATTGGTCTCGCTTTGGGTCAGGCTTGGAGAATCCGACGTATGGGTGCTCGCGACGACGCGCGTGAACGATCAACCCCCATGAACTCTTAGAGAGTGTACGTGCTCCTGTCTTCAATGCCTGTACAAAGTTCATAAAAAAATCAGATTGGTACCATCCTTCAACATGAGAAAAGTAAGGCTTGATTGTCACTGTAATATATACGTACCTCACGCATTGCATGACTGTATTCGTGTGTAGTGTCCAAGTCGGCTTGAGGTAGCGAATCCAGTTGCAAGCGTTCTTCCTCCGCTTGGATGATTTGTCCACACGCGTCACGCTTGTTGGATGCACGGTATGGCCTCTTAATATGGTCCTTGTGAAAGTGCTCAAACATGCTTGCATCATAGTGGAGTGGAGGGCCTGCACGGCGAATTGCATCGATGTAGTGACTCATCAAGTGGGTCTTGATAAATCCCCATTTGTAGAGAGGGAAGATCTTTTTTAGAAGCTCAATTAACCTACAAATACATTCACACAAAATGTAGTCAGGTCGAAGGGCATATTACAATTATGTACATGCAATTTAGAAAGCGTACGAACCTCTTGGATTGTTCCTCGAGTTTTGTCAAGGTTTCCTCGTCATAGTCTCTCGTCTTCCCACACGTGTGATACCACTCGATGTATGCCACAACGGCGTCCATGTGTGGTTTCGCCACATAGTCTCGAATGAGGAAAGGAAGGATTTGCATGACAGACCTGTGCTCGTAAGCTTCGAACGAAGCACCTAGACGGAAATACTCTCCAAATGGTAGGCGCAAACCATCAACCCGACATGTCAACTTCAACTGCTTCAAGATGCTGCAATGAAGGAGAGAGAGATACATTAGTCTTATGCACTGTGGAACATTAGAAAGAATGGTGTCAAGCGATGTAACGTACTCGTCAATGGCGACGTGGTATTTTTGATCAATGACCCCTCTCAAGGCGGCAATAATGTGCTCCAGCATGCCAAGATCAGCCCGATGCATTAGGTCTGGCATCACCGCCATATAAGGGTTGCCCCATGGCTCTGACTCGAAACGGAAGCCATAAAGCGCGCACTGCGTTGGGTTTAGAATGGCAGGAGAGTGTTGAGTGAAACATGACTAGTATATGACGCAAGAACAGTGGATTGTTTTGCACATACCTCTACATGATGAGTGCTGTAGGTTTGCGGGTGAGGCCCCCCTCGTTGCCGTGCAGAGACAGCCTTGTAGATGACATCTTGTTCTTCGGATGAGCAATATTCGTCTCTCTGCGTGAAAGAGTCTAACTCTGTTTTGTGGACCTTGCATAAGGAACAGGGGTAGAATGTACCTAGAGACTTGGTGCAGGTGAGTTTGCACGTCTCTGGGTAGTCCGCCACATAGGCGTATAGTGCTGGGTAGGCCGTGAAAACGTGACCAGACTGGTCATGCACACGGGTCCCCCTGAAAAATCGAAATGTGGGCAACGGGGCAAAGAGGTAAGACAACTAGAGAGAAGGGAAGCATGGGCACAGCAATCCGAGAATGCTAAAGGACACAAAAGGGCAGCGAGGTTGGAAGAATGCTAAGAGCGAAGCATGGGGCAGCAATCTGAGAAGGAGAGGAGAGAGATAAGTAGGAGGGCAGTCACAGAAGCAAGGCCCATAGTGTTGAAAGGAAGTGCATCATGTGGCGAGCATGGCGAGCAGGATAGGTCAGGGATGAGTATGGGGGCACTTACACGTGTGAAGCATCTTTCAATGGTTGAAGAACGAGGCGCAAGACATACTGGAAGATCTGCAGTCGGTCAACCGACGTGTACTCCGCCGGAAACTCCGGTAACGTTGCAATGAGCCCATGCCCGTATGGCTTCCAGCGATCCTCATGATGAATGTTTCCCAATGACATGTAGATGGGATGCCCCTTAGCTTTTCCTCGGCCGTCAGCTATTGTCTCATCCGACGAGAGAATGAGAGTGGCAACGACGTCGTCGATGCCAAGGCGATCCTGTTGGGGGGTTGGAAGAAGGGTTCTGAGGGAGATAAAAAGACAGGATGTGAGGGGCTATAGTTACAGAGTTAAGGACAGTGAGAGAGAGGGATGTGCTTGGGACAGATGGTGTAGCAAGTACAGGTTGGGAGGGGCTAGAATAACTGAGAGTGGGGCCAGATTATTGAAAGAAGTGCAGGGGAGAGAAGGAATGGCAGGGAGAGGTAGAGTGGGACTGGAAAACCAGAATGCGGGGCAAGGCGCGTGAGGGAAGCACAGGGGAGAGAAGGAATGGCAGGGAGAGGTAGAGTGGGACTGGAAAACTAGAATGCGGGGCAAGGCGCGTGAGGGAAGCGCAGGGGAGAGAAGGAATGGCAGGGAGAGGTAGAGTGGGACTGGAAAACCAGAATGCGGGGCAAGGCGCGAGAGGGAAGCGCATGGGAGAGAAGGAATGGCAGGGAGAGGTACTGGAAAACCATAATGCGGGGCAAGGCGCGTGAGGGAAGCGCAGGGGAGAGACGGAATGGCAGGGAGAGGTAGAGTGGGACTGGAAAACCAGAATGCGGGGCAAGGCGCGAGAGGGAAGCGCATGGGAGAGAAGGAATGGCAGGGAGAGGTAGAGTGGGACTGGAAAACCAGAATGCGGGGCAAGGCGCGAGAGGGAAGCGCATGGGAGAGAAGGAATGGCAGGGAGAGGTAGAGTGGGACTGGAAAACCAGAATGTGGGGCAAGGCGCGAGAGGGAAGTGCAGGGGAGAGACGGAATGGCAGGGTGAGGTAGAGTGGGACTGGAAAACCAGAATGCGGGGCAAGGCGCGAGAGGGAAGTGCAGGGGAGAGAAGGAATGGCAGGGAGAGGTGGAGTGGGACTGGAAAACCAGAATGCGGGGCAAGGCGCGTGAGGGAAGTGCATGGGAGAGAAGGAATGGCAGGGAGATTGTGGTATAGCAGAATGGGGAGCAGGGACATAGTGGGTGTGCTGGAAAAAATTAAGGACGGCCAGGGAGGGGCAGGGAAAGGCGGGCATGGCGGAATGGGGAGCAGGGAGAGAGGTGGTGTGCTGGAAAAAGATATGACGGTGAGGGAGAGGTCGGGAGAGGCGGGCTTGGCAGAATGACTAGCAGGGAGAGAGAAAGAGTGCTGGACAAAATGAGGATGGTCAGGGAGGGGCAGGGAGAGCCTGGCATAGCAGAATGTGGAGCAGGGAGAGAGTGGGTGTGCTGGAAAAACAGGGCGTTGAGGGAGAGGTTGGGAGAGGCGGGCATGGCAGAATGGGGAGCAGGGAGAGAGGCGGTGTGCTGAAAAAAAATATGACGGTGAGGGAGAGGTCGGGAGAGGCGAGCATAGTAGAATCAGGACAGGGAGAGACGTGGTGTGCTGGAGAATTTTAGGATGGTTAAGGAGAAGTTGGGTGAGCCTGTTATAGCAGAATGGGGAGCAGGGAGAGGGAGGGTATGCGGGAAGAATTTAGGACGGTCAGGATAGGTGCATAGCAAAATGGGAGTAGGGGAGAGTGTGGGTGTGCTGAAAAAAAATTATGAGGACGGTGAGAGAGAGGTTGGGAGAGGCGGGCATAGCAGAATGGCTAGCCGGGAGAGAGAGGATGTGCTGGAAATGCATCAGGATGGTGAGGGAGAGGTAGGGAGAGCCAGGCATAGCAGAATGGATAGCAGGGAGAGAGAGGATGTGCTGGAAATGCATCAAGATGGTGAGGGAGAGGTAGGGAGAGCCAGGCATAGCAGAATGGATAGCCGGGAGAGAGGTAGTGTGCTGGAAAAAAATCAGGATGGTGAGAGAGAGGTAATGGGAGGTTGGCATAGCAGAATGGGGAGCAGGGAGAGAGGGGGTGTGCTGGAATATTTATGAACGGTCAGGGATAGGTGCAAAGCAGAATGGGGAGGCACTCACTTGCACGTCGTTCCAAAAATTGCCGGTTTTGGGGGCGTCATACACCCTCACGCCCCTCACTCTCTTTCTATGCGCACGTGTAACAAGCGGATGGCTAAGTCTTGGTTCACTCAACAAATCTTGTAGGGCCTGCAAATGTTTAGCCATGTGGGAACGAGGGATTAGTGGGGCGCTGAAAAAAACATGAGCAAACACTCCAACATACCTTCAAGCTGTCACAGTACCAAAAGTTCAAGAATGCCTTTGTTCCAACGCGAGTGACCCCCTTCTTCCACGAACGGTCACAGTCAGCCACTCTCGATTGCACATGTCGGTACACATCTCGCGAAGATCTCCATTCCGCAACGTCCGCCCACGATGCGCCTTCATGGCTAAGAATCTTAAATAATCTAGCTACCGAACGTTGAGATACACGCTCTTGGAGAATCCAGCGTGCCAATTCGTCCTTGAAGGAGAATGGAGCTGCGGGGCGCGGATTAGATCCGTTGGGAATATGAGAAACTTCGTCGATCCCACTCGAGTCACTCATGCATGCCATGAATGCCTCCGTATCATCGGCGGCACGAGCGGCTGCCGCATATACACCGTCCTCATCGGCTGGCTCATCAAACGTAGGTGGTACGAATACGTTTTCACTGCTGGAAGGACTCCACACGCGCCGACGTTGAGCGGGGGGTTGGATTGGTGGGGAATCTGACGCCTCTGCGCCTCTGGATGCAGCAGCTATTCTGCAAGCCGCACTACCTCTATGCGATTCTAGAGCAGAATACACGTAGAAAGGCCCCGAACTACAGTCTGGGCATTCCATAGTGGCGGATGCAGGACTAATTTCTGTATACTGAAGGCAAAAAGAAAAACAAAGCATGAGTGATTTGCATCAATATTATACTCCCCTGGTTGAGGTGATGTGAAGCGTGTGAACACTGAAGTTGTCGTGAGATGTAGTGCTGAGATTCAGGTTCAAGTCGAAGGGGTGTGCATTAGGGCGCGTCATTCTAGTATCATTCTCAATCGATACCCATCTCAACCGTATTATTTGTTTATTTACAACTGTGCAGCGTCGTATTGCACCGCATTCCCCCGAAGAAAAAGGACGGGCACTTACGAGCCGCGCATTTCACTCACACATGTCAAATCGCATCGTGAATTTTACACTTCGCGAATTTTGAACTTCGAGTGACGTTGCGACATTCCCGTTAGCCAATACGGTCGTTCAAAACATTGGCCAGCGAAAAAGTGCTGTTTGGAGAACCGAATTGGATGCGACCAATGGGAAGAAACCACGCACTCCCAAAAAATATCACAGTGCGTTTTGACTTCGTATGACCAAGGCGTCACGAGATTTCAAGAACCGTGACATACACCTGCTTGCTTATGTACTCTAGAAACGGCTGTTAATGATCACGTTCTTGCAAACACCAGACACTGTGCGTCACAAAATCTTCCCGCACGAAGATGCCACGTTTTCTGCTTGCAAACACTGGGGTTTCGCCCAATAAATTATACAGTCAATGACTAGTTCCGATTACAACGACAACATTACGCCAAATCGAAATCGATCTCAACCGCACGAAAAAAAGTTGGAGTTTGGGCCGTTGATGTGAAATGTCACGGAGCGCGACACGATATCCTACGCTGCCACGGCTGATTCCCTGCCAAACACAAGTGAAAAACAGCCATAACACAACCAAAACGAGCATTTGCCACATCAGCCTGTGGATAGAAATTAACACCCCCTCCCCAAACCCTGTGATATTCGAAATATTGCCACCACCGTTAACAGACGGTTCGGCATTTTTGAGATGGGGTTGGCGAGGCCTCGCGACTTGCAGGCAACGAAGCGCCAACGGTGACTGGCCGTTCAGGTTGGGCTTCAGCGCGTCCCGTCCGGAGCTCGAAGCGCCATAGAAGCGCTCATCCGGTTTTGACGTGCAATCGAAGCGCCTCCCCGACCAGCAACGGTTAAGCTTGATAGTAGAAGGTCTTCGCGTCGCCAAGATGGTCGCAAAGAAGGTCTGCAGGAAGAAGAGAAAAAGTTAACGTAAATTCAGAGAAATAAGGAAACGTAGAGCTGAATTTGAATCTAGTCAATCGAGAAGACGAAGCTATATTTCACTTACCTCAACCCAAAAGCAATGATCCGTTGGCGACGGACGAAGCGCCATCGGCGACGATAGTTGGCGAGGCGATCGCTAGGCCCGGGCGTTCAAGTCGAAGCGCCAACGGCGGCCGAAGCTCCTATGGCATCCAGGTGGACTTGGGCTCCAGGTGCTACCCGCTGCAGAAACAGAAAAACGTAGAGCGAGTTAAAAGAATTTGCAGAAAGAAGTCGAATGATCTTAAACATTTCGGTGCAGGAAGAAAGTTGCACTTACCTCCAGTCGACCGTCTCTGTCGGCCGTCTTCGTGTCGGATTGCGGGGTCGCGGTGTCGCATCCTGAATTTGTCGCGGCGTCGCGATGTTGTAGACGGCTCAAGTGTTAGTGTTCGTGCGGAAGTCCTGGCATCGGCGCTTCAACTCTCTACAGGACAGTCGCCACGAGTTCTGCGGGAAGAAAGCGACAGGTCAGTACTTGAATAATGTTGAACGACTTAGAAACGTAACCGGTCAAAAACGGTTGCAGGAACAATTTGAAAGAAGTTCGCACTTACCTTCCAGTCCGCCGTTTCTGTCTAGGTAGGCCGTCTTTATCTTGGCGTGAAGATTGGGTCAGATCTTGCGGTCTGAGCCTGAAATTGTCGCCGTGTCGCGGTGAACCGGTGTTCACGTCGGCGCTTCGAGTCTTAGCGTGCCGCTTTAAGTGTCGCCAAGACGGTCGCCACGAGGTCTGCGGGAAGAAAGAAACACGTCAGTACTTGAACAAAGTTGAACGAATTAGAAACTTAACCGGCGAAAAACGGCTGCAGGAACAAGTTGAAAGAAGTTTGCACATACCTCTAGTCCGCCGTCTTCGTGTTGGTGTGAAGACAGGGTCAGATCTGAGCCTGAAATTGCCGCGGTGTCGCGCTGAACCCGGTCTTGTAGACGGCTCAAGTGTTAGCGTCCGCGCTTCAAGTATCGGCATCGGCACTTCGAGTCTTAGCGCCGCCGCTTCAAGTCTCGCCGAGAAGGTCGCCAAGAGGTCTGCGGGATGAAAGCAAGATGTTAGTACTTGATCAATGTTGAAAGCTTGCAAAGAAAATAACTGGGCAAAAACGGTCGCAGTAACAAGTCAAAAGATGGTCGGAAGTTGCACTTGCCTCGAGTCGACCGTCTTCGTGATGGTGGTGAAGACTGCCGGGGAGCGGCGGGGAAGGTTGACGTGGTCTTCGGGTTGGTGAGACCTGTCTTGGCGGCAGCGACGGGGAAGGCCGCGCCAGCAGCAACTTCGGCCAGCGGGGGAGGCGCCATGCGAAGCTTGAAGCACTTGCAGCGACGATCTTGGAGCGAAGACTTAGCCGCAAAGAACATGTTGATCTTGCGGTGGAATGTTGATCTCGTGCAGATCATGTAGATCTCTTGCAGTGGAGATCCTGCGGTGGAATGTTGATTCCGTCGCGGTGAATGCTTGCCGCGGTGAATAGCTTGCCGCGGAAGACTTCGTCGCGGTGAATAGCTTGCCGCGAAAGCCCGGTTTTGTGAAAGGTTCAGCCTAAGGCACTTGGCAGCTCACTCAGTCTAGACTCTACCCAACCCACCCCACCCAACTAATCTAACGAGACTCTCTACTCGACCTCACGCTGCCGCATGCCTAGACTTTCACCATTCACTAGCCGGGTGGCTTCAGGTAGTATATGTTGCTCCGTATAGGAGTAGCCTGAAGACTAAAAGGAGCTCGTAAGTTGGAGCTTTTCTGAACATTCTTCATCGAATTCGTGGAAGGAAGAAACAGAAAATGAACGCATGAATGGGACTGAGGGCGCATTTTTGTACTTCGGGTCATCAGCACTTCGGGTCATCCGAAATTGTGGGATCCAATCGGAAACTCGGAATCAAGAGATTGGGGTGCCTTTCGATTTTTCGATTGGATCCCACAATCTCGGAAGACCCGAAGTGCCACAATACACAATACACCCTAAGTACGATACGCGTGGGATGAGAAGGTGTCTCAGATGTCTGAGTCTACGTGGGTACGGCTCGGACCCGACGGACCGGCTCAAGAACCAGCGCGTGAACCAGGGCGGGCCGGGACCAGGATGTGGGGCTTGTAACCCCGTTATACCGTTCGAATGGCACTAAAACGGTGCCATTTATTTGGCCCTCCAGACCAGCCCGCGCCAGGTCCGTAAACAGTGGGTGGGGAAACATTTGTTTTGGCAAAATTTCTTGTTTTGTAAGTTTCGCGTGAGATTTTTGTGCAGACGAAGAAAATGAGTAACTCAATTTCGAATTCGTCGCTACTGCTGCGTCTCGCAAATACTGTGCAGCCCGAAGCGCGACGCATCAGGCAGACCAGTCCGTGTCTGGTCCAACGCTGGTCCGCCAAGTGGGTCCGTCGGACCAGAACCCCGGACCAGGCGTATAGATTCTGGTCGCGGACCAGATCCAGCGGACCCTTCATATGAGACAAGTCCTGATCCAGTGAGTTGGGTTGGGACGAGGGAAGGAGGCTCTCTTGTGAAACTGAACTGAAGCATGGTGCGGTGCGGTGCCGCGGGATGATGGTTGGGTAGATGAATTCAATTCATCCAAATTGAGAGCATTTGTTTGTAGCAGCCGCCGCGACGCCGAACGGCGCAGCTCCAAACCAAATGTGTTGGGTCAACGCCGTAGGAAGCGGCTGAAAGTGTTCTTTGTCAGAGCTGGGTCAATCCTACAGCATTTTGGTTTCGTCAGAATTGGGTCAATCCTCCCGAGCCGCATGGTTTGGCAACTTGATGCGGCCCAGAATTCTGAGCCGAACCCCCAACCAAACCAGGATATACATCTCTTGGACAAACTGGCTAATTTAGTAAACCTGGGTGTGTTGCTTTGTGTGCAAACGAAACTGCTGAAGGCGCGTATCGTTTGGGAGGGGCTGGTTGGGAGGACCTGTAGGTATTGAATAAAGTACAGTTTGGGGTAGGGCAGGCTTGAACTTTCTAGGAGGTGGTGTACGTGGCGCTTTCTAGGAGTTCTGTGCGAGTTTGGCGTAAGGCGCGGAAAGGCGGAGGGGATAATTAGGAGATTCCTGCGTGGCGTGGGAAGTTTAGGCTGCTTTCGCAATCTATTTTGCCCATCCGGACCTGACTTGGGCAGCTGAAAATACAAATGTGATCCTGAAGCGATTTACGCAAGCCAATAGGAATGAAAGCTGCTTCCACGGCAGCACGGACGGAATGTTTCTCTGTCGCCCTGGCACAAGCACCCCACCCCATCGAACCTGCCACACCTCCCGTCACCTGCTCCGGACCTGTATTACAGAAGTTGGGTGTGACTTGGATTAGCTCACACTATTTTGCATTTAGTACTAGTTTCGCCGCACATCTTGTTACAGCACGGTTCCAGACTTGTCCGCCCGCCATCCGGCCCAAAATGGCCATCGGTGACGTGTAAACACACCCAATCATTGGTCACCTTACAAGTTTCCAGATATCTTGGAGCACGGAAGCCAATCAGACGTGTACTTTCGTCTACACTTGTCCAGACTTTTATGGCGGACGAACTTCAGAACCGTCATCTTAGTCTCTATTGTTTAGTTTCGCCGCACATCTTGACGCTCACGCTCTCGGACGTTCGTACTGTTAGTCGCTTTACGCTTCTATTGGCGTGCTAGCAGATATCTGATCTGAATAGATATCGCAATCGGCAAGACAGTTCACGTTGCATGCACCAGATCTGACTTCTATATTACTTGCGTAATGGGACGGAATCGTAACGTTTGTCGGCGGACGACTTGTTATCGTGGATTTCGTACGCGTCAGTAACGTAGCGGGTTTCGTCGATTAGACAGCGCGTTTGTTCGACTTCACAGCGTCGTCGGTATCCTGCGCGCAAGACGCGGAAAACGAGGTGAGTGAAGGTGACGGTAATTTCCCCTTCCCTTTCGTGACTTCAGAGCGTTGACGGTATCTTGGACGCAAGACGCGGAAAAGGAGGACGGGAGGTGAGTGGAGGGGAACGGAGGGGAGAAGAGCGGGAAATTGTTATCAGCGATGGGGAAATGGACGGAGAGGACTGGAGAAAGGGGGAAGCGCCCATTTTCCCTTTGATTTCCCCTGCCCCCTACCCTTTCCGCTTTTTCCCTTCCCTTTCCGCTCGTTGACAGTCCCAGCCTGGTCGCAAGACGGGGCGAGAGGTGAGTAGAAGGGAGCACAGAAACGTTCCCCTTTACGCGCTCTATTGTTCGTTCCCCCCCCCCATCTCCCCCTCTCCCTTTCCCCCTTCCCCTCGCAGCTACCCTCTTCCCCCTTTTCTGACTCACCCCTCATCCCCCCTCCAACACCCAAATCTCAACTTTCGATTTCCTTTTCCTCCGCTCCTGCTTCGTCTCCATTGCTATTCACCCCTCATCTCCCTCCCCTCCCCTGCCACCGACCCCCCACTACCCTCATCTCTCTCACCCCCCTTCCCCTCTTCCACAACCTAGCTGTGTCCTCATCCCCGCTGCCCTTCCCTCACCTTTTCCCCAATCACCCCTCATCTTTTCTCGCCCATGCAATCTGCATTTCCCTCCTTTCCCCCTGAAAGACTGTGCATGTTGTATTCAGTGCATGTCGTTTGATTCCTCAGCTGCCTGGTCCGGCACGTGGCTGCATGGGAAGATGTATGGTGTAATTAGGTACAGTGCGGTGGGAGCAGGTGTGCAGCAGCTGTGGTGAAGTCAATTGCACACTTGATTCACTCTGCAGCACTAGCTCCTTCGGGCTCGGGCTTCGTTGACTGTTTCTCACGCAAGGAGTGCGAGCAGGTACAGTGCGGTGGGAGCAGGTGTGGTGTGGTGCAGGGGGAACAGGTATGCAGCTGCTACTGCTAACTCTATCCCGCACTTCAGTTTGAAGCACTATTCTGCTTCTGACTCTCCTGAACAATGTCCTTTGTATTAGTCACTTCTTAGTGATACATACCTGTCGTAACACACCCTGTCTGTCCCACGCTTCATTCTGAGCACCACACTGGAGCACCTTTCTGCTTCTGGCTGTCCCTCTCTCTCTTCTCATGCCTGTCGTGACACACCCTATCCCTTCCTGCTCCCACCCACACTCCCATCCCACTCAGGTAGCATCAGATGATAAGAGCTGTCACTCCGGGGCATCCCAGCAGCACATTACCGTACCATGCTCACAGCAATGTGGTGCCATCAGCCGTGCAAGCCTGCGCATTATTGCGCAGCAGTGGTAGCCTTGTGACTGTGACACACCTTAGCCCCTGTCTGTCGCTCAGATGTAGTGGCCTAATAGGCCTGCCTGCCCAGATGCCATGGTATGATATGATGCTGTCAAGGAAGCGTATGAGCAAGGAATTGAAGCAAGTGAAGGGCCTTTCTACCAGAGAGTGTTTTGAGTCTAACGGATGAGCAGGGACTCAAGGCCAGATGAGCAAACGGATTTTTTATCTCTACTTCCTGGTGAATCTTGAGTTGACTTGGAATTTCGAAAACCACCACTGTCACCTCACAGGTCTGTCGGGACGTCTCAAAACAGGTCACACACTATCGTCTGATGCCGAGTCAGCAGCCGACCGACGCGACGCGCTGCGGTAACGGCGCGCGGAGCGCATCGAGCAATCCCGCTTCCTCACCGTCGTCCGCCTCCCCTATGTCGTCCGCCCATTCCCCTTCCTCGCGTCGCCTTCCCCGCCTTACCAAGCCCGTTTCCCCGCCTTACCAAGCACCTCTGCGAATCGATGCCTGGTCGCTCGTGCTTTCGCTGCTCCCCCCGCGCGATATCGCCTGCGCTGCGCTCGCGTGCTCCTCCCTCGCCGCTGCCGCCGCCGCCGTCACCGCCGCACGCGCCGCCGACGCGACGGGCGGCAGCGAGCCGCGTGCCGTCCCGTTCCTTGCGCCGGATTGCGGACTTTCCGCGGGAGCGACGGCGGCGGGGAGCGCAACTACGTCATCTGTCCCGCGGTATTCGTACTTCCGCTATTCGCGCGCGAACGTGCGGGTCGCGTCAGACGAATCGTCCTTCCCCTCCTCGCTGATCCATTTCCAAAATCGCCAGACGTTCAGCCAACCGGGAACGGCGCAGCACGAAAGCCGCGCATCTGCGAAGGTTCCGCCGATCATTCCCCCGATCGCCCCGCCGTACCCGTATCCGCAGCCTCCGTGGTGGTGGGGGATGCTTCCGGATTATCTCAATCGCTGCGATCGCGCGGATGACTCGAAGCGCGCGGAGCAGCAGCAGCTGACGCGGCCCGGTTCCCGACCATTTGACGTGGGGGGAGGAGAAGAGAGGCAGCAGCAGCGGAAATCATTCCTCGGGGCGGGGGACGCGCAAGATGTGCGGGGGGACAGGCAGTCAATTGCGCGGAATCGGAAGCGGAAGCGGGAAGGGGGGAGGGAAGGGGAGGGGGAAGCGGAGGCGGAATGGCAGGCGGAGCAGCGGACGCTGGCGCGGCAGGCGCTGCAGCCGCACGCGCTCCAGGACGCGCTGATGAGCCTCCTCCCCGCGGTTTCCCCCTGTGCGCGGAGCGGGGGCGGAAGGCGCGCATGGCCAGGCTGTGACTGCTGCGCGCGCGGACACACGCAGGGGAAAGCGGGCGAGAGCGCGGAGGAGGGGGAGGGGGGGGAAGGAGAAGAGGCAGGTGCCAGGGATTCTGGTAGCGGTGATTGCGGCGGTGGAAATGGCAGCCATAGCTGCTGCACGCGTACGTGTTGCCCTTGTGCTGCGCCCTTGGTGTCCAAGACAGGGCGCAGCAGGGAACATGCCAGGAGCATGCACGCAGGGAGAGAGCGAGGGGACCGGCCGGAAGGGCGGAGGGGACAGCAGGAAGAGGGGGGAGGGGAAGCAGATGAAGCAGAGGAAGGGGAGGCAGGAGAAGACGATGTGGTGTTTGAGTGTGGTCCCTTGTGCTCCTGTGCTCTGCAGCAGCACCGCATCGCCTCACATCCAGGCCCCCACACAGCAACCAGCACAGTCGAAACAGCAGAAGCGGCACCAGCAGCACCAGCGGCTGCAGAAGCAGTGGAAGGGGGGGCAACTATCACCCCCGCGTGTCCCACATGTCCCAACCGCAGCAGTCAGCGGGGCGTGCAGTGGAACTTGGCAGTGGTGTGGAGTGGTAGCAAGGGGTGGACGCTTGTGGCTCAGGAGAGCATCCCTCGTGGTGCCTTCATCTGCCAATACGCGGGTGGGTCTTAGCAATTGTGAGAGCCGCATGAGCTTATGAGGTACCTGGTAGATGTGGTCACGACGACTCTTGCGGTGCCTCGGCGATGGCAGGAGGAGAGCTTCTGGGAGGGAGGAGGGGACCAGTGAGATGCAAGGTGAGATGCAAGGTGAGATGCAAGGTGAGATGTAAGGTGAGATGTAAGGTGAGATGTAAGGTGAGATGTAAGGTGAGATGTAAGGTGAGATGTAAGGTGAGATGCAAGGTGAGATGCAAGGTGAGATGTAAGGTGAGATGCAAGGTGAGATGTAAGGTGAGATGCAAGGTGAGATGCAAGGTGAGATGCAAGGTGAGATGTAAGGTGAGATGTAAGGTGAGATGTAAGGTGAGATGTGTAACGATTCTTGAGGTGCTTGAGAGATGTGAGATGCATCTCACTAGTCCCCACCTTGCATCTCACCTTGAGGTGTAACGATTCTTGAGGCGCTTGAGAGATGGAAGGACGAGAGCCAATCGAACCCCACGCGGTGCTTTCATCTGCTCTGCTCAGCTTCGCTTGGGCCAGTGAGGCGCCAGCTTGAGTGCTCTGTATTCATCACACACGTGTGCAGTCACGGTTTGTTGAGCTGAGATGCATGTGAGGGGGTCGTATGCCTGCTGCTGCTGCTGCTTTATTCCAGGCTTGCCAACGCATGCTTGCTGGCTCGAAGCATTTCCTGCTCTTTCACTCACCTGCCAGTACCCCTGTCCCTCCCCCCCACCTTTTCCCACCGCTTTCCCCACCTTTTATCCCCCCTTCATTCCCCCGCTCACTTCTTCCTCCGTGGTGATGCAGGCGAGGTGGTGAGTGCAGGGGAAGCAAGTGCACGGCAAGCTCTGTACGATGCTGCAGGATTGCATGTAAGGCCATGTGCACGTGGGGAGGGCGAAGGTCAAGAGGATAAAAAGGCACAGCAGCAGCAGGAGGAGCAAGAGCATGAAGAGAAGCCACCACAGAAGCAACAGCAGCAGCAGGAAAAGAGGCAGCAACAGCAGCAGCAGCAGCAGCAGCAGCAGCAGCAGCAGCAGCAGCAGCAGCAGCAGCAGCAGCAGCAATCCCAATTCCACCACCACCATCACGGCACACCCTACTTCCACACTCCACCGCCCCCCCGTCCCTCTCCGCGCTTCCTCTTCACCCTACGAGAGCACCTGCCATCCGGTGCAATCCTGCGCACGCAGATAGACCCGTCTCGCATGGGCTCCCTGGGTCGATTCATGAGCCACGAGTGCGGGGGAGGGAATGTGGCTCGCGTGGTGGTTCGGCAGGCCGGCTGCTTGCTGCCTGCTGTGGGCCTTGTGGCTCGGAGGGAGGTTCGGCAAGGAGAGGAGCTTACGTTTAGCTATGGGGGTGTGGGGGAGGGGGAGGGGGAGGATGGGGATGGGGACGGGAAGAGGGAGGTGGAGGGGGGTGAGGGTGGGAGTGTGGGAGGGGATGATGGGGAGGGTGGGAGAGTGGAGGGCGAGGAGGACGGGAGGGAAGAGTGTTGGAAGAGCGGTTGGGAGCAGCAGCAGCAGCAGCAGCGGCGGCTGGTGAAGCGGAGCAAGTGTTGCTGTGGTTCAGTGCGGTGCAGCGGGTACCTGCCGTTTGATATGTTGTGATTCTACATAGATTTTAGTATATACAAATGTAGCATTTTAATATCCTAGGCAAGCTGATGCCTGATGGGATGTGGTGGTTAAAACCCCTAGAAAGCTCTGTTTGGCATAGCTGGTTTACCATGGCTATTTTACAACACAGCTCAGTTACGGTAGTGAAAGCCATTACGCTACTGTAGGTGCCTGTTATCACGCCATATCAACACCCTACAAATCCTTATCCTACGCAGACTCAACCTAACTGCCACCCTCCCTCCTCCCAACCAGTTTCCCTCCCCTTTCCCTCCTCTTGCCCCTCACTCCACGCTAGACCAGTGCCGGAACTTGCAGATTCCCCGCCGGCCCTCGCCAAAGGAAGCGCGCACAGATGTGAGCAGGGCAGCCACGTTAGGGTCAGCCATTAGCTCACTCGCCTCCTGGTGTAGGGGGAGGGAGAGGGGGAGGGAATGGGGAGGGAGAGGGGGGGGGGGGGGGGAATAGGCAGGGAGAGGGGTAGAAGAGGGGAGCAGAGAGAGCAAATGCAGGTGGGAGGGTGCACAGACAGACACGCAGTGCAGCCACTCGTATTTGGGTAAACTAATGGTCGAATTCGGATCGGCTATTGGCTTATTCGACTCCCAGTGAGTGGGGGGGAGAGGGCACGAGGGGGTAAGGGTGAAGTGGGAGGGGTGGAGGGACCTTATCAGTCGTTCAGCAGCCTGCCTGACGGCTCAAAGAGGAACGAGCCTTCACCAGCTGAATGCGCCTTAAGGGCCTTATCAGCTGGTGGAAAGACCTTATCAGCTGGTGGAGGGACCTTGCGTTTGAGACGACTCATAAGTCGTCTCTAGTTGAATTGAAGAGGCTCACTCACCAGCTGGTTGAGACGGTCCTCGAGGCCTGAGGCGGCATCGGAGGAGGAGAGGAAGAGCTGCTGGTAGGCCCGCCGCACGTTGCGCACCTGGTAGGGTGTGGTGCGGTGTGGTGAGATGTGGAGGTGGTGGTGGGGGGTAGAGAGGGGAGGTGGGGGGAAAGCAAGAGGAGAGGAGGGTGTGGTGGGGTTGGGGGGCGGTGAAGGGGAATGGGTAAGGCGAGAAGGACATAGGCATGGGCATGGACATAGGCACGGGCATGGGCATAGGCATGAAAAACCTCGCTTGGTTGGTGGAGAAGCCACAGTGCCCGAGCACTTCAAGTGCCAAATGCATGGGACCTGCAAACGTGACTACACCCGATCATTCCGAGTAGCCTTCATGCAAATGTGCATTTCAGCAGCTCACCTGGTCGCGGGAGAAGAAGCAGCGCCTGAGCCCTTTGAGGTGACCTTTGAATTTGAACGGACGCCAAAAACTCGAGAGTCACACCCCGTCCGTTGGGGGAGCCGGCCGCAGCTCACCTGGTCTGTGGAAAAGCCGCAACGCCTGAGCCTATGGAGACCCAGACTCCTTTTGAGTCGACTCAAAAGGAGACCAAGACTCATAACCCGAGTAGACTTCACCAGTGCAGTGCATTTCAGCAGCTCACCTGGTCGGTGGAGAAGCCGCAGCGCCTGAGCCCTTTGAGGTGACCTTTTTGAGTTTGAACGGACTCGAGAGTCACCCCGTTTGTTGGAGAAGCAACAGCGCCTGAGCCTATGGTGGTGCAGTGCATTTCAGCAGCTCACCTGGTCGGTGGAGAAGCCGCAGCGCCTGAGCCCTTCGAGATTCAGCCCTCTGAGCTCCGCCCTGTCGCCCGCCACCATGGTGTATATCGGCACGTCGCGCACCACCTGACCGATGAGGGAGGGGAGGCAGCAGGGGAAAGGGCGGGCCGGGCAGAGAGGAGGCAAGGCGAGTTGAAGAGTACACGGTGTAGCCCCCTGAGCTCCGGGGGCCTCCTGTCGCCCGCCACCACCACCATGGGTGAACGTGGGCACGTCCCGCACCACCTGGGGGAATGAGGGGCGGGGGGAAAGGGGAGAGAGGATACAGGAGGCAACGCGGGGTGAGGGCTAGACGGCAGAGGCTGATGACCCGGGTGACTTTGAGTCACACGTACCTCAACAGTGACCCACACGTGCTTCTGCTTTGCCCATCATGGTGCACCCACATACACAGCTACCCACACGGACACTTCCTCCCCTCCCCTCACCACCAGCCTCCCTCACAACTAGAGGCGTACCATACCCCCCCCCCCCCCCCCGCAAGGAAGGGGTAGGAGCCGATGTGACAGAAAGGATGCACTGCCACGGCATGCATTACTCACTCTCTCAATGAAAACACACACAGCTACACACATGTCCATCATACCCACCAACCCACACACCTCTCCCCTCCCCACACCCACACACGCACCATGGACCCTCCAGCAAGGAAGGAGTGAGAGCCGATGTGACAGAACTGATGCACTGCCGCCGCATGCTTCACTACACACATGCTTCACTACACACATGCCACGCACGTGCCTAGTGCTTACATACACATCTTCTTCTCTCATGCACACCCACCCCCCTTCCCCGCACACACAAAAAACGAACACACCACACACCTACCATGGACCCTCCAGCAAGGAAGGAGTAGGAGCCGATGTGGCAGAACTGATGCACTGCCACCGCGCCCCCTGTGTGCACGAAATCCTGTGACCGGGGGCAAGGGGGAGGAGGGGGGAGTGGCAGGGAAATTGTCAGGAGCACAAGGTGACTTTTGGTTGACTCAAATGGTTGACTCAAACGGCCACAGAATTCGGTGACAGGGGACGGGAGAAGAGAGAAGAGCTGTGGGGAGACGCGGGAGTTGGGAAATGACATACACACTTACATGTGCTGATCACAAGTAGTCTTGTACGCAACCACTGCTCCTATCTTGTCACTCTTAAGAATAACATTGCCCGCACCACATGGACATACAATCACACACACACGCACAACCACACACACGAAATGACACACTTACATGCAGCACAACATGCCCCCCAAGAAGCGTGCCATTGGCGAGAATGTTGCGGTTGCCCAGCTTGCAATCATGTGCCACGTGGCATGATCCCATGATTAGATTGCAGTCCCCGATAATCTGACGTGGAAAGGCGGAGAGGGAGCGGGGGTGGGGGTGGGGGTGGGGGGAGGGTTGAGGGCGGGGTGGGGGAGAGAGGGAGGGAGGATAGGAGAACGAGAGGAGGGACCGGCAATGGGAGCGGAGCCAGCATGGACCGAGAATGCAAGGCGGAGGGAGAGGGGACAGCACAGACATGTTGCAGATACCTTGTCACCCACGCATGCACCCAGAAAACAAAGCACCAAGAAGGCTTACAGTTGTAGTGACGAGAGGAGAAGGGCACCTTTGAGGCGCCTCGGAGGAGAGGAGAAGGAGAAACACCAGTGAAGAGCACAAGGAAAGACAGGCATGACGGCTCACAGTGGCATCATCTGGCTTGGAGGAACGATGGATTTGGGTGTGCTCTCTCATATCGTTGAGCTTTTCTGTGCCATGCTGCGTTTTATGTCCTTGCCCCACATGCTCGCTCACACCCATGACAACGCAATCACATGCATGCATGCATGTACGCTCACAGTGGCATCGTCGGGCTTGGAGGAGCGGTGGATTTGAGCGTGCTCTCGAATGTCGTTGTGTGAGCCCAGCACCAGGAAGCACTCACTGCCCTCCTGCTCCGAAGATAGGGGGTTGGAGGGAGGGGGGAGAGGGCACACACACACATAATTCTTAAGTCGACGCAAAGGTCAGCATAAATATCGTTGTGTGAGCCCAGCACCAGGAAGCACTCACTGCCCTTCTGCTCCGAGGCGGGCGGGGGGAGCGGAGAGGGGCAACACACACCGGAGAGAGGAGAAGAGAACACCATATGAATGCGAGCACATGCACACACACACACACACACGCGCGCGCGCACGCGTGCACACGTGACGAAAACACTTTCTGATGCGATGGGTGGTGTGCAAGCCCAGCCCAGCCGCACGGAGCATGCGGTGTTTTTTTTTTGTGTTGGGAGGGGGCAGATGAGCAATGAGAGCGCAGAAGAGTAGCAAGGAAGGTGTGGAGTGGAGACACAAGGAGAAGGGCACGAGTAGACAGGGTAACGGAGGGGCACTTGGCGGGACAAGTGCGCCTGCCCACATGGTATTTGAGGTCCTGACACTTGACGCCCACAGTGGCATGGTATCCGATGCTGTTGTGGCTGCCGACCACTGTAATTCCCTTCCCAGTGACTTCCGAGTTGACTTGAAACGAAACCTCTGCATGGGCTTCCTTCCTTGCCCACCTGGTAATTGAGGTCCTGACACTTGACGCCCACAGTAACGCCAACAGTCTCAACCATTGTGAGGCGTTCTGACCGGGTACTCTTCTCTTCACATCACCCACCTGGTACTTCAAAATCCTGGCACTTGACGCCCACAGTGGCATGGTATCCGATGCTGTTGTGACTGCGGACTAGAGACACAGCCAGTGACTCCTTAGTGAATTCAGAAGTTACCTATGCAAGGAAGCCTCCCTGCGCACCTGGTATTTGAGGTCCTGGCACTTGACGCCCACAGTGGCATGGTATCCGATGCTGTTGTGACTGCCGATCACTGTCGTGCCTGGTAGGTCTGCTCCCACCACTGCTCCACTGGGAGCAAACAAGGGAGGGGGGGCATGAAGGAGCAGAGGGGCAGAGGAGAGGAGGTGCGGAGGAGAATAGGAGAGGTGGAGGAGAGGGGGGGGGGGTGGAGGAGAGGAGGGAAGGAGAAGATGTGCAAAGGAGCTGGTAACATAGAAATGGGAAGAAATGCTGATGTGTGGGGCTTTGAGGGGCGAAGAGGTTGAACATGCCTCAAAACACACCATACAGACCAAGTGCCAGGCGTTGTTGCAAAAGACGAGCGGACTACCTTAAAGAAAATGGTAGCATAGCATAGCCAATGGTAACCGCGTTTTCTCCCTCCTCGTCTCCCTCCCCCTCCCTCCCGCATTCCCTTTCTCCCTTTCTCCCACTGTCCCCCGCACCCTCCCCGTTCTCACTCGCCCGACAGAAAGCAATGTCTCCTCACCTCATCAGCGTGCAAAACTCGCCAATTGTTGTGTTCCCTGCCACGTGGCACCCGGGCAGCAGCTTACAACCCCTCCCTATAGTCACATGGGGGCCAACAGTGCAGAACGGCCCAATCTCCACACCCTGGCCGTGTGATTAGTGGGATCGGGGAGAGCAGGGGGGAGAAAGTGAGAACGGGACATGGGCAGGCAGGAAGGAGGGGAATAAAAGGATAAAATTGGCTATTATTGTACAGTTGCTACGCAATCACATCGTTTAGAAGCGGTTTGGGACCAGTAAAGATACTAGCAATGGTCCGTTGCCGTAGGCCCTCCAGGTGCCCTACGGCAACGGACCGTCAGTCAAGGCTTCAAATTGATATATATATATATATATCTATATATACATATATATATATATATATATATATATATATTTCGCTGCTCAATGTACTTACCTCCCGAATCATAGCATCAGGATGCACAACAGCGTTCGGATAGATCAGAGGAGGCGCGTCCGCTACAACCGCTCCGCCCGCCGTTTCCGCTATTCCCGCTGCTGGCCCCGCCACAGCTCCCGCCACCGCCCCCACCCCTGATCCTCCCCCCGACCCTCCCCCCATCCGCGCAGCAGCTGCGGCTGCGGCTGCTGCGGACGACTGGGATGCGACAGGGCCTGTCGCACGAGCGGAAGAGCTCATCGCACGGCTCTGTTGCTGCGACTGCCGCAGCCACGCGCTCTGCGACGGCGCGACGCGGAAATGCAGCGACTCGCGCGTTACCGGGGGAGCGAGGAAAGCGGAAGCCCCCGCGGCGGCACGCGGGGGAGAGCCGGCGGAAGTAAACGCGGCAGAGCGGGCTGCTAGTGAGACTGATTCGGCGGAAGAAGGGCCGCTGCAGGGGAGACAGGCGCACGCAGTGCGCGCCATCTGCGCGAAACGCGCAGAATTGGGGGAAGCGGGAAAAAGTATGGATCAGGAAAGAGCATATGCGCGGGCAGAAGAGGGAATCAAAAGGCAAGTCGCGGACAGATCAGCGAAAGGCAGGGGGGGAGGGGGTTGCGAAGGGAATATCTTAGGACTATTAGAATTCCGCAGCAAAACAATCACTAGCTGATCACTAGCTGAAAACTCGTGTTAATTGACACGCTCCCTCAGCGTTAGACCCAATGAAGATTCGCCTTACGATGGATATTCTCAGCTTGTTCCTGATTCGAGTAATTAGAGTCGTTGCAGTTCTTAGAACAACAAATGCCATTGCGCCAATCAGCCATACCGGCGAGCGGCTCGGGGCGGAGGACGGGGGTCGGGATGGGGATCGCTGGGGATCGCAGAGGAGCGCCTGCAAGGGCCTACCTGCGATTGCAGCATCATTGCGACGGGCGACGACGACGACGGCGACGGCTGCGACACTGGTGGCGACGACGACAACAGTGGTGTTGATCTCCCGATTAAGCTGCTTTCAACACCGCTTCCACCTCCTCCTCCCCCTCGTCCCTCTCTTTCTCCAGATCCTACCCCTCCTACACCTCCGAAGCTGAGTCCAGTGGTGAATGTGCCTCTTGTCGACGAGATTCGGATCTTTTCCCTGGTCCGATTCTGAAATCCGGGCAAATCTTCAGCCTTTTCAATCCCGTCGTCGCCACTCTCAGCGCTTATCCTGGGGAAGAATTCGCGCCATGCGCCAAGCCGCTCGCGCTCCGATCCTCCTGATCCTCTCTCCGGGGTAAAAAGAACCTCCTCTGATCCAAGAGACTCTACCGGGATTGTATTAAAAAAAAGACTCCCTTCCTCGCGCGATTGGCGAAATGTGGGGGCAGCAGGAGACTCTGCGCAGCACCGCTTCGCAAGTTGGAATCTTCGCGGGACGCGAACGAGCAGCAGCGCCGCAGCGAAGAGATTCTCGCGCATGCCCCTGAGGCGCGCCGGTACGCGAATGGGGACCCGACCCGCACGGCGGAAGCAATAGCGGCAGCAGCAGGCAGGCAGACAAGCAGACAGGCAGGCAGACAGGCAGACAGGCAGGCAGACTGACCTAGGTTCCAAAATCCAACTCAAAGTCACTCGAGTCGGAAGTGCCTTTACTGTACAATCTTGCAAGTGCGGCGACGATTTGCGGAAAACACTGTGGCACAGCAGAGACCACCACGAGGGCGCAACTCCCTAGGCTAGGCTTCTCTTTCGTTGGTCTGTTGCACGACACTTGCGCAGAGCAGCACTCAGGTCTCGGTTCTGGGCGAAGTTTGCCCGCCATCAGCCCAAAATGACCCTCACTGACGTGTAAAAACACCCTATCATTGGTCATCTCACAAGTTTCCAGATATCTTGGAGCATGGAAGCCAATCAGACGTGTAATTCCGTCTACACTTGTCAAAGTCGAAAAATGAACATTTAAAAGCTGCGCGTGCGTGAGGGGTTGGGGAAAGAATAGGGGGGAGGAGGGCAAATATGGGTGAAGCGGAAAGAAAGATCGACTCGCGCAGGGTGCGGCGGAGGGGAATTCAAACTTGGGTTGCGCGAGCGCGAGTGAAGGGGGAAGAGGAGAAGCGGAGAGCACCCTTGAGTTCCCGACAATCGCCCCGCCCCACCCCACGAAACCAGAGCGATCCGAGCGACCTCACCAAGTCGCGCAGATCGCGGAAAGGCGGGCCGAGCGGGAGAAGGTATTCGCTAATTGGTTCTGCTTCCTGAAGCTTCTCGTGATTGGCTGCCTTGCGGATTATCATGCAGCGTGGCGCAAGTTATGATTCAGCAACACGTGGCACTACCGATCGTTACTACTGAGTACACAGCAATCAAGTATGCCACTGCATTACCGTCCCTATTCTGAAGCACATAGGAATGTATCGTGATGGAAACTAAAATAAGTCCTACGAGTGAGGAATTAGAGAGGAGAAATGGGACACAAGCAGCATACTCAAACCAGGACTGAATATCCAGACAAAATCTCAAGCTTTCTTGACACAGGAGTTAGTAGTCGACCCGCTGACACTCTCATCCAACGAAACCCCTTTTTCCTTGGAGCAGACACTCTCCCCGATCACAGCACCCTTCAATATCCTTGTGTTATTGCTTGCTGTTGATTCCATAAGCACTTCCATTCCCCCCCTGCTCCCCTGCGAGCTACCAGTCGTCACCCCACCCCTCACACCGCTCCCCCCACCACTCCCCTTTGCACTTCCACCACCACTCCTCCCACTCCTGGCGGCACCACTGCCGATAGCAGCAGCAGCAGCACCACCACCACCACCACCAGATCCCACACTAGGATGCGCCATAGCAAACCCTCCTCCAATGCTCCTGTGCCCTTTACTTCCCATGGCACTGACATCAGGAGAGCATGACCTCACAGGTACCATCTCCTCTGCCGCATTCCCCCCTCCTCCTGCACCTCCTTTCCCTCCCTCCACATCCGCCCTCCCTCTCGCCCTACTCCCTGCTTCACTACCCGTAGGAGCCACCATTAGCAATCCATCAACCGCTGCCATCGGATCATTCTCTTCTAAACTCGCCCTCCCGTTCCCCTCCATCGCATTCCCTGCATGGAACCCCAGGCTAGACGCGGTACTCTCTGCAACCCGGATCGCCTTCTTTACTCGCTTCTGCTTCTTCTTCTTCTCCTTCTTTCCCGTCTCCCCTGTGTATTGACTGCTGCCCTGGCTCGTATTGCTCCATGTCTCTCCCATTGAGCTCGTTTCCCCCATGCCCTCTGTACCTGACGCAGAGTGCTGCTCCTTGGTTCTATCAACGGCAATAACTGCTGCTGCTGCTGCGGCTGGTGCAGCTGCTGATGATGCAGATACTGACGGAGCAACAGCAGCAGGAGGAGGCGGAGGAGCAAGTCCAGGGGCAGTAATGACAGCAGCAGAACGAGCAGACACATGAGAGGATGTCCCACTGGCAGCACCATCACACGCAGCACTACCTTCTCCTCCAAACCCTTCCCTCCTCCCGTTCCCTGCCCTAGCTCGCCCATACGCCTCTGCTCCAGGGCTATCCAGAGACTCCCGCTGCTGCTGCTGCTCCCCTCGATACTCCTTTCTTTGCACCAGTTGCGGCAGGTGTTCACTCGCTTGTCTTACTCCCTGCCCTGCAAAGCTGAAGTCCAGGGACGTGGCGAATGGACTCTCACACATCTCTGGAATGGGCACAGGGAAGGCCCCTGGCGTGCCGTATACTGCTGCCGGCGTGCCTGCAGCTGCTGCTCCTGCATGCATTGCAGTTGCTCCTGCTGGGGTGGGAGTGATGAAACCTGCTGCTGGCAGCTTGCCTGCTGCTGCTGTTGCTGCTGCTTCTGCAGGAGAGGGAGCTGAACCAGGTTGGATGGACACAGGCAGCGGCGTTCCAGTTGCTCCTGGTGTTTCCACAAACACACGTGCTGCAGCAGCAGGAACCACAGCTGGCGTAGCTGCTGCTGCTGCTGCAGCTGGGGTGGCTGCTGCTACTGGCGTAGCTACTGCTGCTGCTGCTGCAAAAGGCACCCGCGCAGGGATTTCAAGAGGCAGAGGTCTTGGTTGTTGCCCATCAGCAGAAGGAGGAGTTGGTGTGGCAGAGCCAGACACAGGGACAAGTGCAGCAGCAGTCGCGACGGAAGCAGGAGCAGCGGCAGTTGGGGAAGACAAACCAGCAGAGTCAGCAGCAGCAGCAGCAGCAGCAGCAGCAGCAGCAGGAGGAGCGGCAGATCCCACAGCAGAGGCAGCAGATCCCACAGCAGAGGCAGCAGACATGACAGAAGACGATGTTGATAGCCCCTTAGCAAACACACCGCCACCACCACCAGAACGCGCACCAGAACCAGCAGCACCGGCAGCAGCAGAGCCGGATAGTGCGGCGCTGCTACGAGCCGACTTCACCTCCTCGCCGTCGACGTTTTGCCCCACGGACTCGCGCAACGGATTCTTGCCGACAGCAGCAGGATTGCCGTGTGCCGAGCCCGTGCGTACTGCCTCAGGAGTGGGCATCGTGGAAGCATGCGGCTGCACAATTGCGTATGCTGCTGCTCCCGCTGCTCCTGCTGCTCCTGCTGCTCCTGCTGCTCCCGCTGCTCCTGCTGCTCCTGCTGCTGCTGCTGCTACTGCTGCTCCCACTGCTGCAGGAGGAGCGGGAGAAGCAGAGAGGGAGGGAGCAGGCAAGGGGGATACAGGAGCTGGCCCACCAGTGTGCCTCTCCTCATAGAGCGCTGCTGCTGCTGCCAAGATCCCATCCACCACCTCCCGCCTGATCCCCGATATGCTTGGGCTCATTCCGTCAAACGGGTTGGTGCCCTCACCTACAGCCTCCCCTGCCGTGCCCTGCTTGATCAGAGGAGTAGCGACCGCTGCAGCAGCAGCAGCAGAAGCAGCAGGGGAGGCAGAAGTAGCAGCAGCAGAAGCGTGGGGAGCAGGAGAGGCAGCAGCAGGAGGTGCAGCAGCAGAAGAGGCGGAGGAGTCACGGAGGGCAGGAGGGATGAAGTCCCTGGGCCGGCTACCGCAGCTTCCAGTAGACCCTACACTCGCCCTCATCACCCACGGGTTACCATCACCAGCAGCACCAGCAGCACCACCAGCACCACCAGCACCAGCAGCACCGGCAACACCAGCAGCAGCAGCATAAGCAGCAGCGCCAGCACCAACCATACCATCTGCACTCCGTGGTGCTGTTCCCATGTCTTCTCCTACTATACCATCCCTCACATTCCCTCCCTTCACCTCCACACTCGCATCGGATGACCTCACTCCACGCTTCCTCCCATCACCACCCCCGTCCACCGCACTGCACGCCACAGCACCCCCTCCTTCCTCCTCTTCCACCACCATCTTCCCGCCCCAAACTACCCCTTCCCTTCTCCCCCCCACCCCAAAAGGCTCCCCTGTACTCCCCACGCCCTCCTCCACATCCTCTCCCATCACACCCCCGTCCTTCTCCCCCTGCCTCTTACTTCCCGAGCCTCCGCCAGAGGCTTGGCTCCAAACCTGGAGGCTTCCAGCCCTCCCGCTCCTCCCACTCCCCACCCTCCCTTCCACACTCATCCCTCCTTCTCCCACTCCCCGTGTCCCCTCGTCCGTATCTCCATCTGTCCCAACCTCACCCCTTTTCACTTCAGCTATCACTGCCACACTCTCTTTTGTCCCTCCTATTCCTCCCTCCTCCATCACGCTACCTGCTTGACCGCCCTCAGTTATCCCTACTCCTACACTCACACTCCCAGCAGGGAAGGCAGCAGCCGGATGAATCGCCTCCGCAGCAGCAGCAGATGTACCTGCAGCAGCCAATCCTGCCGGCACTCCATATGCCCCACTACCAGCACCATTAGCCCCAGCACCATCAGAACCAACAGCTACAGCAGCAGCAGCAGCGTCAGCGCCAGCAGCGTCAGCAGCAACCGCAGCAGCAGTCTTCTTCACGCCAGTGAGCCCGAGAAGGGAGGCCCAGAGGGAAGGCTTGGCCTCTGGCCATCTGCTCTGTGTCACAGGGGACACTGGCAGGGTAGATCCCGCAACAAAGGAGCTCGCTTCCGATCCCTCTCTGTGCAGCTCTGACGCCCCGTGAGATGCCTCTGCTCCTGCTGCTCCTGATTTACCAGCAGCGGCAGCAGCAGTAGCAGCAGCAGCAGCAGCAGCAGCAGCAGCAGCGAATGCTGGTGGGACGTTCTGCTGCCTACTGACTGAATAAGCCCTAGGAGCGGCGGCAGCCACACTGCCGGAATAGGCTCCTCCTGAACCATCCATGCTGTGTGAAATCACAGGACTGACAGCCGGCAGAGGGCTATGGGTACTCGCCCAGAGAGCAGGAGCAGAAGGTCCCTTTTCAGACCCAACTGCAACCAACCCAGGACTGTTAAACCCCATACCCGCTCCTCCTATCACCCCACCAGCAGCCCTTCCTGCTCCACCTGCTCCCACACTCCCCACCCTCATGTTCCCACCACTAAACGCGGCACTTAGCCCGGCACTGCGCGAAACACTAAACACCCTGTTACTAAGCGGGGTCGACCCATTCGGGCCGCCATTTGACCAGCCCCAGGAGCCAGCCATCGAGCTTATAGTGAGTCCGTCTGTATGGGATCCAGTAGCCCAGTCAGTAAAAGAGACCCCCGTGCTAGCCTCGCTCCCGTTCGCGTTGCTGGTGTTGTTGGTGTTGCTCCTAAGAACATCCTCCTGGTTACCAGTAGTGGCGGTGGCAGTGGTGGTGGCGGTGCCAGTAGCGGTGGTGGTGGGTAGGCTGTTGTGGGAGAGTGCACTAGCCATGCTCGTTCTGCTAGCAGACGCTGTGAGAGTGCCTGTGCCTGCTGCCACACTAGGAGAAGATGTATACGTGCTTGCACGCTCGGTCCTGTAGCCTTCCTCTGATGTTCCTCCTCCTGCTGCGCTGCCTCCTCCTGCTACAGTAAAGATCCCCACAGCAGCAGCAGCAGCAGCAGCGGCAGTGCCAGCAACAGCAGCGCCAGCAGCAGCAGCGGCAGAACCAGACCCATCAGCAGCTGCAGTCATTGCGTCGCCCGCCTCTCCCCCTCCCTGGCCCTCCAACCCCTCTGCAGTTTCATACCCTTCTTCACCTTCCTGCACCCCTGCATCTTCCTCTCCCACCCCGCCCGCCCCTCCCATCCCTCCCTCCCCATCCCCACCGCTGCTCCCATAACTAATCTCAACCGCACACCCATCATTCGCCACCAGAGACTGCTTCCCCATCTCCTCCGCCGCACCTCCTCTCTCCTCCTCCTTCTCCCTCTTGCTCCCACACCCCAGCCACGGACGAACAGCCACCGGCAGCAGCAGCCCGAACCCCTGCCACACAGCCTGCAGTCCTTCCCAGAACTGAACAACCGCAGAGGGCGCGGGGGAGCACGCGGAGGGGGAGGAGGAGGAGGTGGGGAGGGAGTAGGACGGCGAGAAAGTCTTAGGAGAAGAACCGGGCCCAGCAGTCAGAAGCTTCTTTGACCGAACCCCTCCCACCCCTCCTCCCGCTCCTGCTCCTGCTACTCCTCCTGTTGCTGCTCCTCCTCTTGACGCCGCAAGCGCCTTACCAGGGCACAGGGCTCTAACCTGCTTCACAATCCCGTACCAAAAGGTCACAGTCTGTGCCGCCGCAGTGACTGCAAGCATTGATACCATGGCGATATCCCAGGCAGAACCGGGCTGGCATGCAGTGGGGTTTGCAGATGGGTCTAGAGAGATGAATGCGAGGGCAAGTGAGAGGAGGGCAATGTAGGCAGCGTGAGAGAGCGACTCTGTCGCGAGGATGAGACGAGAGATGAAGGGGCGGACGAGGAGGAGGAAGAGGAGATGCAGCGAGGAGAGCACGAGGAGGGCGATGACCTGGGCAGAGGCGGCGTGGGGCGAGGAGCGCAGGGGGAAGGCTCCCAGAAGAGCACCCAGAGCAATGCGGTGGGAGAGATCAGCCAGGAGGTGCAGCGTGCGCAGTCGCCCCTTGGCGCGTGACACTGTGGAGGGGCGCGCTGGGGCGGCGGAGGAGAACCATGGAGCTGCTGCTGTGGCTGTGGTAGCGGAGGGAGAGTCGGTTATGACGACCTGGTGGGTGCGGGGAGGGGAGAGGAGGGCGGGATAGAGGCGAGGGGCGGTAAAGAAAGCGGTGAAGGGAATGGGTAAGAGAAGGGGAGTAAGGGACGAGGGAGGGAGGGAGGGAGGGAGGGAGGGAGGGAGGGAGGGAGGGAGGGAGGGAGGGAGGGAGGGAGGGAGGGAGGGAGGGAGGGAGGGAGGGAGGGAGGAGTGAAGGAGGGGGGGGAGGGAGGAGTAAGGAGCGAGGTTGGATAAATAGGAATAGAGGAGTAAGGAGGATGGCTGTGAATGAAGGTGATGTGAGTGCACAAGAGGAACGCCTACGCAAGTACATGCATCAACAGGAACAAAAAAAGGGGAAGGAACCTGCGTGTCACTCCACAACCCACCCATCCATCCTCCGTCCCCACCCCCCGGCCTCCCCCCCCCCCCCCAACTGGCACCTACCCAGCAGCCCACCCATCTGTCACATAGAAACCCACTACCCAGCAGCCTACTCACAACCTCTCACAACCTCTCACTGCCTCCCCTTACCCCCAACACCCCACCCACCTGTCGCATGGAAGCCCCATCGCGAACCAGCCTCACTCGTGCCACCTGCATCGTCGTCCCCACCACCCCCCCCACACACCCTGCCACCGCCGCTCCCCCACCCATTCCACCCATTCCACCCATTCCCCCGCCCCTACTAACCACCATCTTGCCTCCTCCCGACCACTCCCCACCCTTCCAACCCCCTCCCTCCTCCCCGTCCCCCTGCTCCCCCTCCTCCACTTTCTCCTCTACCGTCTTCTGCCACCACCTCCCCACCGCCGGCACCCCTCTCCGCGTCTCCACCAGCGGGCCCCACTTAGCTAAGTGCTCAGCCCCTGGATTCTCCACAATCCCAGCAAGGCCCTTGCTGGTGCTGAGAATGAGGCTGCTGCTGGTGTTGGGGTGCGGGGAGGGGTGCCAGGAGGCTGAAAGCGGGCGACCCAGGAGCAGGTTGAGCAAGCGAGAGAGGAGGTGCTGTGAGGGAGGAGGGGAGGAGTGGTGGGAGAGGGCCTTGGTGTCTCGTTCCTGTTCGGGGAAAGGTGGGAAGAGAGGGAGAGTGGGAGAGAGGGAGAGTGGGAGAGAGGGAGGGAAAGAGGAGGGAAAAGGGGAATATGATAAGTTGAAGCTGGTTACATTTCAAGAACTCCCAAGAACACGTTACACAGGAAACTTATTGACACATCCGTACGAAAGCGTAAAGGAAGGCAATCGAAGACAAGAAAACCGTTTTGTTTTTTCAGGGGCCTAAAAAACCAGACCATGAGAGGGCGCCAAGTAGAGTACTATTATTTTGTGGGAAATAGGTGACAAATATGTGTGTGTGTGTGCGTGCGTGTGTGTGTGTGTGTGCGTGCATGTGTGTGTGTGTTTTTTTTTTGAAGTATTATTATTGTTTTCCCTCTCTCTTGTCCTTCCATCTTACCTCGTAAACAATGAGGGGCCGTCCAGCATTGGCAAAGATGGCGATGATGAAGCGCAGAGCGGCGAGCAGGAGCGCAGCGAGCAGCAAGAGCAGCCCCACGGCCACTACCAGCTGCCCTGCAGCCGTGCCTGCACAGGAGAGGACGGAGGGAGGTAGGAGAGGGAAAAGGGGGAAGAGTGTTGATCAAATGTGAAAAGAGAGCAGCGAGCAGCAAGAGCAGCCCGGGAGAGGATGGAGAGGGGGAGGAGGAGGAGGGGAAGGGGGGAGGGAGAGGGGGGAAAAGGGAACAAGAGCAGTCTCCTGAGCCGCCTTCAGGGGGGTATGGCAGGGGAGGTTGGCAGGGGGGTTTGGCAAGGGTATAGAGCTCACCTCGGAAGAGAGTAGCCATGGAAAAGGAGAGCGCGGGCAGCAGAAACACCCCCAGCACAACCTCTAGGCGTGGGAATGAGAGCAGACTTGGACGCACCTCATGAATCGTGGCAGGGGTTTTTGGCAGGTGGGGTTGGGCTCACCTTGGAAGAGAGTAGCCATGGAAAAGGAGAGCGCGGGCAGCAGAAACACCCCCAGCACGACCTCTGGACGCGGGAACGAGAGCAGATGCGCGGAGGGAGGCGCGGGGGACGAGGGCAGCGAGGGGGAGGAGGCGCAGGGGGGCGGGGAGGCGGAAGAGGCGCGTCTGGAAGCGGGGGAAGCGCTGTTGCGCTTCTTGGGGGGGGAAGGGGAGGAGCAGAGGCCAGGGCTGGAGTGGGTAGAAGCGGGGGAGCGGGAGTGGCGGGAGTAGGGCGAGGGGAAGGCGTAGGGCGAGCGGAGGTAGGGCAGCGGAGTGCTTGGGGGAGGGGAGGAGAATGCGGGGGGTGTGGCGGAGTGAGAAGCGGCGGAGGACGAAGAAGAGGAGGAGAAGGCGAAAGACGATGGGGAAGAGGAAGGCTTGGGGAGGAGGAGGAGGGAGATGAGATGGAGGAGGATGAAGGAGGAGATGAGGATGGAAGTCCAGAATAAGGTTTCCATTGCCTTGCCCCATCTGGCAAGAGGGAAAAGAGGGGAGTGAGGGGTGGGGAGAAGAGGGGAGGTGAGGGGGTGAGAGGACCGAAAGTCATGCACTGAGATACCCCAAACGTGCATTTGCTTTTCAGGCGTGTATCTGCGTAGCATTCGACTAGCTTCTTATCACGCCCAGTGACCTCCTGCTCTGCTTCCGTGTTCAAAACTTGGGATCGGTAGAGAGCAAGAGAGCTACAGAGCTGGACAGCTAGACAGCATAGGAACAACACGAGCAACAGCAGTGGCAACATGAACAGCAGCAGCAGCAGCATTATAGCAAAGGATCTGCTACGAGAGAGAGTGAAAGAGCGCCTTACATGAGGTCGATGTGAGCCTCGGAAGCAGCCTCGTCCCAATACGAAGCAGCGCCCGCAGCAACCGCTTCAAGCTCCTGATCATGTCGTTTAGAACCCAGGAAGTGCAGGGGGGATGAACAATTGATGGGGGGAACGGTGGGGAAGGGTGTGAGACGGTTGAACTGAAGGGGGAGGAAGTCAAGAGGGAAGAGGGGGCTCAAAGAGAGGAGGAAATTACCTGTCATTCGCCCTCGAATGATGGGATGGGAACAACTCATGCCTGTCATACCGTGCTATGAACTCTGCAAAGCGCCTCTCAAACCGTCTCAACCTCTCTCTCCACCGTACCTGTTGAAGGTCTCTGTACTCCGTGGTTGTAAGGTAACTGGTATCCGCCTTCAACTCCTCTTCACTGCTACTACTGCGATTCTTCGCTTCTCCATCCGTCCCGTTCAACCACCCTCCTTCATGCTCCCTGCGTCCCCCTTGAACAGCAACAACAACGCCACCATTTCTGTTTCTAACACTATCGCCACCATCACCACTACCTCTGGTGAAAGCGGGAGTGGGCAGGCCTTGCACCCCGTCCACTTCTCCTTCCTCTCCATCCTCTCCCTCCTCATCCACCTCGTCAACCTCCTCCTCCCCGTCCCCTTCCTCCTCTTCATTCCCTGTCATCATCGCATCGTCTCCTGCCACCCCGTTCGCAGGAGCCTGCTGAGGTGAAGCTTGTTTCACAACAGCAGCAGGAGCAACAGCAGGAACAGCAGGGGTATCTGCGACATTGACAGCACGTGCATGAGCAGCAGCAGCAGCAGCGCCAGCAGTAGGGTCTGGGGTAACATCAGCAGCAGCAGCGCCTGCATGGATCACACCAACAGTCGACCCATGCTTTGGGGTTACACCCCTGTTCCCCTCCACCGTTTCTGCGCGTGCTAGTAGGAGGAACATCTCGTTAGTATCACCTTCAAAGCCACCACCACCAGTACCCCCTGATGGCCGTTTGGCACCCCTCCCCTTCATGTAGTGCCGGACCAAGTCCGACCCACCCGATTCGCTTCCTAACTCACGTCTCAAGGCATCAGTTGCATCAGTTGCATCACTCACATCACCTCTGAAACCGCCTCCTAGATCGCCCATCTCTCTCTGGAAGTCCCCATTCGATTCACCTCTGTCATTCCCTATGCTATCCCTTCCCAGCAGCCTCCTGGTGTGCGGGCTTCGCGCGGGAAAAGTGTTATCTGCATGCCCAGACTCGCTCGCGTATGTTGCTTTACCGATACGAACAGTCACAGGGAGGGCAGAGGAGGGAGAAGAGGAAGACGTGGATGAAGCCGAAAGTGGGGAGGATTCAGAGGCGTTGACTGCGGTTCTATGGGCTTCAACTGCAGCGGCTGCTGCTGCTGCTCCTGCTCCTGCTGCTGCGACTGCTCCTGCTCCTGCCTCTGCTCCCGTTTTGGGAATCTGCATAGCTGGTCCCTCTGTCTCTCCAAAACCACCACCAGAGGCAGCACCACCAGCAGCACCAGCAGCAAAACCACCAGCTATAGCAGGATTCTGCAGCATGTGCGGGTTGAGATCTTGAGACCAGGGGAGCTTGGCGGAGGGTACGATCCAGAGCAGGTTGTGTGCCGCTTGGGAGAAGGTGAGCGGGAGATCGGTGGCGAGGGAGGAGGAGAGCGCCATTGCCTGCAGATGAAACGCCATGTTCTGTGGAATGAAGGGAGGTGGAGAGACGGGGAAACAGGAAGACAGGGAGACAGGGAGAGAGAACGAGCGGGAGGGACGGTTTATGAGTCAACTCAAAGATCCGTGGCGAGGGAGGGGGAGAGCGCCATGGCCTGCAGGTGGAACGCCATGTTCTGTGGAATGAAGGGAGGTGGAGACACGGGGAAACGGATTGCGAGAGAGACGGCATTTGATGAGAGGAGAGATATGGAGCGACAACGGAAGAAAGAATGGGAGGAGGGGAGGTAAAGCAGAGATCTATCATCCACTTGCAGAAGCTTATGTTCCTCCGTTATTATTCCAATGCACGAACGCCTGGGGCCTCCAAACTCCATAGAAACAGACTTATCAGGAAACTGCACGAGGGCACAGCACAGCGAGCAGGGCAGGGCAGCAGAGGCGGCGGAGGTGATTTTGAGGACTATTGAAAGCGGTTAAGGTTCACCCACCCGCCAGGAGACTGCACAGCACTGCCGACTGCGGGTATCAATCATCCCCAACAAGCACACACACACCCACCCACGCACCAGGAGACTGCGAGAGGGCACGGCGAGCAGCGCAGCAGAGGCTGCGGAGGTGCTTTTGAGGACTATTAATATGTGGCTAAGATTCACCCACCCACCAGGAGACTGCACAGCTCTACACGGGAATCAATCAACCCCACAAGCACCCACCAGGAGACTGCGAGAGGGCACGGCGAGCAGGGCAGCAGAGGCTGCGGAGGTGGCAGTGGCAGCATGGCCGGAGAGGGCGAGGGCGGAGGAGGAGAGGGAAAGCAGCGCGGAGGCGGCCATGGAGAGAGATGCTGCTGCTGTTGTGACTCCTGATACCATCGACGCTGCTGCTGGTGACTCGTCTGTGGGGAGAGAGGGGAGAGGGGGGGGGGTGCAAGAGAGGGGGGAGGGAGGCAGAGTGGATGGAAGTGGGAAGGATGGAGGAAGAGGGAAAACGGGGCGGAGGCGGCCATAGAGAGAGATGCTGCTGCTGGTGACTCATCTGTAAGGGGGGGCAGATTAGTGGGAGGAATGTGGGGAGAGACGGCAGGGAGGAAGGGGGGGATTGGATTGGGGAGGGATGGAGGAGAGCGAGAGCAGCGCGGAGGCGGCCATAAAGAGAGATGCTGCTGCTGTTGTGACTCCTGACACCATCGACGCTGCTGCTGGTGACTCGTCTGTGGGGAGAGAGGGGAGAGGGGGGGGGGTTTGCAAGAGAGAGGGGAGGGGGGGGGGGTTGCAAGAGAGGGGGGAGGGAGGCAGGGGGGATGGAATTGGGAAGGATGGAGGAAGAGGGAGAGCAGTGCGGACGCGGCCATGGAGAGCGATGCTGCTGATGTTGTGACTCCTGATACCACTGACAATGCAGAGTGCCACATGCAATGCACCACTCGCAACGCAATGTGCCACGTACACTGCACGAAAGTGAGAGTGTTGGACGCCTGCTCGTTGCTGCGGTTGCCTGGGCCTTGCAGCGCCCCAGCAGGCACATGGATCGACGCCGCCTCTCCCGCTGCGCTGGGCTGAATGCTCACCACGTACTCCAACAGCGACCGCTGGTAGATGCTGGTGCGAGGGAGACAAGGGGGGGAGTGGGTGTACGGAGAGAGGATGGATCATGGAGCCAGGGTAAGAGGGACGGGAAGAGCGGGTTGATTGACATGATGTATGAAGGTTGAGCTAGGCTGCTAGCTGTCGTCTCGCTTGCTGCGCTCGGCCCACCCGACAACAGGCGATGAACTCGCTGCCACCCTCACACTCGCAGCGGGGAATGCGCGCACTGGCGCTGTCAGTCAGTCAGCGCGCCAGGGTTGCTTGCTCCCCCCGCCCCCACTCCCCCCCATGGGTACAGCCCACAACCCCCCTCCCCCGCCCACGCGTGCCATCGAACTCGCTTACTCACCCAACAACTGCTGCGCCCGCCACTCGCACACTCGCGGCGTTGAATGCACGTACTGGCGCCGTCAGCGCCACCAGCACGCCCGCCACCTCCCAAATCCCCCCACGGTGCCGGCCCCTCCCCACGCACGTCCCAACTACCCCGGCGACTCACCCGACATCAGCAGCGCCCGCCACCCTCACACTCGCGGTGGTGAATGCGCGTACTGGCGCTGTGAGCGCCACCAGCACGCCTGCTACTGCTTCCCCCCCCAACGGGTGCTGCACCCCCCCGCATGCACGTGCGACTGAAACTAGCTTACTCACCCGAGAACTGCTGCGCCCGCCACCCTTACACTCGCAGTGGTGAATGCGCGTACTGGCGCTGTGAGCGCCACCAGCACGCCTGCTACTGCTTCCCCCATGGGCGCAACCAGCACGTGAAACGGGGAGAGCGCCGTGAGCTGCGCGGATAGGGGCGCGGGGGCTGTGAGAGGGGAGAGGGGAGGTGGGGGGACGGCGGGGCAGGGACGACAGTGGGGAAGGGAAGAGAAGGGAGGGATTGCCGGGGTGGAGTGGAGGGGATGGGAGAGAGGGGAGGGATGGGAGGGAGGGAAGGGGAGGGGAATGGGGGAGGGGATAGCAGGATGAGTTTGCGAGGAGGGAGGCCGGGGAGGTAGAGATGTACGGCGGAAGAGGGGGAAAAAGAAAAATGCGAGGGGAGACAAGGTTGCAGTGAGAACGGGGCAGGAAAGAGCAGAGCACAGGACGGCAACCAGCAGAGCACAGGACGGCAACCAGCAGAGCAGAGACAGGCAGTAGAGGAGAGCATGAGGCAGGCAGCAGAGAAGAGCAATCAGCCGTGCCAGGCAGCAGAGGAGAACCCAGGCAGCAGTGTACCGTAGAGGATGAACCCAGGCGAGGACGCATGGCTGACTGCCCCGTATTCATTGGTGAGGGCAGCCTCAGGCAGGGAGAGAGACACGAGGGAGAGGCCCGCAGTGGGAGTCACCTGCGGGTGAGAATGGATGAAAGCAACAGGAGGGAGCAGAAGGGGAAACGGGTTTCATCTCGGGAAACAGATGCGCGAGGGAGAAGGGAAGAGGGCCACCACTTTCAGCCCCCTCTCTCTCACCCCACTCTCCACACCCACTCAGCAATCCCAACCACCCACACGTGAAGCTTCGTCCTTCCGATCGGCTCAGTCCGCTCCACCGTTCCCCCCCATCGCCTTTCGAGACGTCTTTAAACCCACCCACACGCGAGGTTACTTTGAGTTGACTAAGAAAAACATCGCCTCAGTCCGCCCCACCCTCGCCCTCCCCAACTTTGGAGACGTTTCAGAACTCACCCACACGCGGAGCTTCTTCCTGCTGATCACCTCAATGCGCTCTATCCTCCCGCCCCGCACCACGCCCGCGCCCCTCACGGCGCCCTCCAGCCCATCCGCCGCCGTCTGCAGCCGCACCAGGAACCGCACGTCGGAGGGGTGCAGAGCGGTGTAGAACGGCCGCGGCTTCCCGTGGAAGAACACGGGCGTAGGGTCCAGATCGGGGGTGATTCGCACCTTGAGATCGCGCTGGTCTGCTCGGCGCGCGGGGGAGGGAGGAGGGTGAGGGAGGGAGGGGGGGGCGGAGGTGAGGGAGGAGGGCGAGGGAGGGAGGGGAGGGAGGAGGGCGAGGGAGGGAGGGGAGGGAGGAGGGCGAGGGAGGGAGGGGAGGGAGGAGGGCGAGAGAGGGAGGGGAGGGAGGAGGGCGAGGGAGGGAGGGGAGGGAGGAGGGCGAGGGAGGGAGGGGAGGGAGGAGGGCGACGGAGGGGGGAGGGAGGAGGTGAGGGGAAGGGTTGTTGAGGCGCCTCAAAAGCCAGAATGGGAGTGTGATTCGGACCTTGAGCTCGCGCTGGTCTGCTCGCGGGGCGTGCGGGGCGCGTAGGGGATGTGGGGCATGTGGGGCATGTGGGGCATGTGGGGCATGTGGGGCATGTGGGGCATGTGGAGGAGAGAAGTGGGGCCAGGGAGGGGAGGGCGGATTTTTTAGTCGCCTAAAGGGTGCACAAAAAAACGTCCGACTAAAGAATCTGTTGGCTCAAAAGGGTCCAATCCGGCGTGACTCGGAACGGAAAGACGGGGGGAGAGGTGGTGATATGGAGGAGCGAGGGAAGGAATGGGCGAAGATGAAGCGTGACGGATGTGGTGCTGGTATGGCGACAAGTGGCAACAGAAGGCCCTCGCTTCACACTCAGCCCTTCACACTCAGCCCTTCACACTCAGCCCTTCACACTCAGCCCTTCACACTCAGTCCTTCACACTCAGCCCTTCACACTCAGCCCTTCACACACTCCGCCCTTCACACTCCGCCCTTCACACTTCGCCCTTCTCACTCCGCCCTTCACACTTCGCCCTTCACACTCGGCCCTTCACACTTCGCCCTTCACATTCCGCCCTTCACAATCCGCCCTTCACACGTCCTCCACACACTCCCTCACACCTACCGTATCGGAACTTCAAAGAGGCAGAAGAGCACGACTCCACCAGCTGCTCCTCCCCCCATTCCTCCATTGCCGCTACTCCCCCCTCCCCCTCCCCTTGCGCCTCTCCGGTTCCGCCCTCTCCGCCTCCCCCTGCCGTCCCATTCAACCGCGGCCTCAGGTCGTTAGGAGCCAACCGCGTGTCTGCAATCCGAATACTGCGACTGCCCCCACCACTCGCACCCTCACCAGCACCACCATCACCACCAGCAGCAGCAGCGTCGCCATCCGTGACTTGCCCCAGGGTCGCACGGACCATGCAGGCCTCTCTTGGCATGCGCACGATCACGCGGCCGTACTTGGCTGTGAACGCCACTCGTGCTGTGTACCGCAGCCCGGGCACCACCTCCTGGAAACTCCCCGGGACAATCTCCGCTGGGCCCCGAACCACGATCTGCGGGAGCAGCACAAGGGAAAGCGTGGAGTGGGGGGGGGGGGGGGGGGGGGGGGGAGTGGGGGAAGTGAGGTTGGGGGGGATGGTGGACGGTGGGGAAGAGGCACAGCCACTCGTGCTGTGTAGCGCAGCCCGGGCACCACCTCCTGGAAACTCCCCGGGACGATTTCCGCTGGGCCCCGAACCACGATCTGCACAGGTGGGCAAGGGATGGGAACAAGGAGGGAGGTAGGGGCGCCTTTCAAATGAGTCAACTCAAAAGCACCTCCTGGGGAGCAAGGGAGGGAGGGAGGGAGGGAGGGAGGGAGGGAGGGAGGGAGGGAGGGAGGGAGGGAGGGAGGGAGGGAGTGAGGGAGGGAGGGAGGGAGGGAGGGAGGGAGGGAGGGAGGGAGGGAGGGAGGGAGGGAGGGAGGGAGGGAGGGAGGGAGGGAGGGGGGGAGAGGCCACTTATGAGTTAACTCAAGAACCACCAGCAGCAAGGGAAACTCCGGTACCACCTCCTGGAAATTCCCAGGACAATTTCCGCTGGGCCCCGAACCGCGATCTCGGGGAGGGGAGCAATGCAGGAGAGCAAGGGAGGCAGGGGGGTATGGCAGTCTTTAGAATCAACTCAAGAACCACCGTCTGGACACTTCCCAGGGCGACCTTCACGGGGCCTCGTACCCTGAGCCGTCTGAAATTTTTGAGACGTCTAAAAAAAAAAAACTGCACGAGTGGGGCAAGGGAATGTGTGGAGGGGGAAGTCGGAGGGGGGGTGCGGGAGAAACGACGCATGAGAGGCTGTGGGGATGGCGGACGGGATATTGCATTCTCCCCTCTTCTCTCCTCGCTCTCCCTTCCCGTTCCCCTCTCCACTCCTGCTTTCTCCGCTCACTCACCCCTATCCGCCCACCCCTCTCTGCCCACTCCTCTGCGCCCAACCCTCTCCGCTCGCTCCTCTCCGCTCACACCCCTCTGCGCCCACCCCTCCGCGCCCACCCCTCTCCCCCACACCCCTCCCCACTAACCGAGCAATTGCTCCTGGAGGAGCAGAAGAGGCCGAGGCAGGGGCGTGAGAGGTTGAGCAGGATCTGCGTGGACGCGTTGAGGCTGGTCGGGGGCACGGCGGTGATCTCCGCTGGTACCAGGCACGACGGGTCTGAAAGAGCAGTACGAGCGGGGTAGGGGCGAGGGTAGGGGTGTGGGCAGGGGCGAGAGGGGCGAGGGCAAGGGCGAGGGCAATGGGAGGGGTAATGTCGTGAGAAAAAAAAATGGTGGTGATTGCCGCAGGTACCAGGCACGATGGTTCTGGTAGTGCAGTACGAGAGAGTAAAGGGCGAGTGTAGTGGCAAGGGCAGGCGCGAGGGCAGGGGCAAGGCCAAGGGCAAAGGCAAGCGCACGGGCGGGCATTGTGAGCGGATTTGTGAGCGGGCTCACAACGGGGTAAGCTCGGTTGACATCACGATGAATATGCACGATGGGTCTCAGAAAACAATATCAGAAGGGTAGAGAAAAGTGTGGGCTTTCGAGGTAAATCACAGGCAGTGACAACCGCAAGCATCAGACACTAGGGATTGAGGCATCAGGCACATAAAGGCAAGGGAAAGGGGCAGGTGGGAGGGGGTTGTCGGGGGGTGGAGGAGGATGGGGAAGGTGGGGCGGAAGCAAGTACGAACTGCAGAGCATCGCCAGATCAATCAAAATAGAAGGGGCGGGGTTGGGGCGGGGGGCGGGCGGGAGGGCTGGGGCGTGGGGTGAACGTGAGCCGTCTTGAACGTGGACGGTTCATCACTTTCAAGATGGCTCACGTTCTCGCATGCGACGTATGCCCGTATGCGACGGAAATGTCTCACCTGCGACGAACGTGTGCGACGCAGTCGAACTGACAGCCGCAGCAGCAGGGGAGGCTGCAGCAGCGGTGCCATTTGCGGAGTTTCCGCGGAGAGACGAGGGCGGCGCAGTGGCGCGCACGCGGAAGGTGTGCTCCCCCGATTCGAGCGCGGAGTATCGCTTGTGGCCCCTGTTACACGTGGTGGCGGGCTTGCCATCGATCTGTGACCACACCCGCGGCGGGAGGGGGGCAGGGGGAAAAGACGGACGGACCGTTTGAGATTAGACGGACGGACAGACGGACAGACGGACGGCCGGAAGGAAGATTGGTGGTGAGTGAACACTAGGGGCTTGGGTTGAGTATCAGTGCAGCCATGTGCACACTCAGAACCAGAGAGAGTGCTGCATATTTGATTCGCGGGGAGCATAGGCGGCTCAGGTTGGAACGCATGGGGGACACAGCCGGACCATGGTGTTGCACAGACTGGGTTTTGCAAGAGCAGGAGGGACGAATCCGTGCACAAAACGCAGCACGAGCGGGAGCAGTCACGGCAACGGCGGCTTCTCGCCGACCTTCAGGTCGACTCAAAAGTCACCTCCACACACTCACCGAGCACGCGTAGGAGCAGTTACTGCAAGGGCTTCCCGTCGGCAACCAGAACGCCGCGAACCGGAACGACGCGTTGCTGCCCGCGCTGCGCTCCGACGGCGCCGACGTGATATTCACCGCCAGCACCGCTGCCGCTGCTCGCTCCCTCTTCCCGCTCCCAGAGTCTGCTGGTAGCCCCTCGTCTAGGGAGTTTCTTGATGGATCTGTGACTGGCTTTGTCGAATTCAGCTTCGATCGGACACTCGCGGTCCGCGACTCGGCTCCCAACGTCGCCGCGCCACGAGAAGCGGTGAGAGCTCCCGTGCCTTCTTCTGCTGCGGCGATTCTCGAAACCGCGGCAGCGGCGGAGGCGGCGGATGGATTTAACCTCCCGTCCTGGCCGCCCTCAGAGGAAGGATTCGCGGATGCGGGAAGGACGGAGGGGGGCAAGAGACATAGTGCGAGGAGGAGAGGGAGGAGGTGACGGAGCGGCGGGATGGTACCGTGGTGATCACGCCGAGTTGCCGTTTTCTCGGGCAGGTTGAGGTTGCGACGGGTGGGCGGGCATCTGCCCGCAAGCAGATTGCAACGCTGCCGCCGCGTCCTGCTGACGGTTGTCGCTCTGTCCGAAGCCATGGCCTACAGTGACGACTGCTCCGGAAGACTGCAGAATGAGAAAGCGGTGGCAGGTTGAAGATACGTTGACTTGATTTCCTGTGCTTTCTTTGCCGATGGGTGTCTCCTTGGTTGAACGTTGATGTCTTAGCGGGGATGCGAATGTTTGAATGAGGCTCTTTGGAAAGCCGAATCCGCACTCGCAGTCGTTTCTAGCTGCTACTGCTGATGGACGAAGAGTCAGGAGTCAAGTTCAGGTGTCAGAATGGCAGGTATTACAGGTACACGTGGCCAGGGGTCAGGTAGAAGTACAGGTGTCAGGTTTAGGGGTAGAGTACACGTGTTAACTTCAGATGTCAGATTAAGCAGCAGTCAGAAGCCAGTTGGTGAAGAATTGCGAGCGAAGCGCTTTGCACGCCACTTGATCCGTGGCGCCAACTCCTTGGAGAAGTGCGGGTCCGAGAAGGAATAAGGTCGTGCGGAGAACGAGGGACGCGATCAGTGTGAGGGGTCGTTGTGTCTGGCTGAACGAGCGAACGAAGGTACGTTCTCGGCAGTGAATGGCGAAACCAAGATCCAAACTCTAAGCAGAAAAAAACTCAAGGAAGCTAGATGGTCATTGGTGGCTTGTTAATCGCAAGGTCTCAAACATTCGAGAGGAGAATCTGGAGACGTGGCAAATGTGTCTCATAAATCCTTGGAAGTTAATCATTTGTCTCGAACCTTGCAGAAGTGCCGCAGCAATGAAACTTCCCGACACACAGGAAGCCTTGCAGCACCACGACTGCTCCTCGGAATGTGGAATGCCTCAGACTCTTGCTCCTGAGCTGATCCTGGGAAGCCCTTCCAACCACGGTTTCTAAAGGAGAAACACAAGGTGATAAGTTAGTGGGCGGCGAAGGTCTTCCTCCAGTAGTCAACGACGCGGAGTAGGCCTAAGTGAGGCCGTTGAAACAGAAGTGAACGCAGCGCCGAATCAACAGGCTCCTGGTCTATGGCTAAATGTTAAGTTACGGATTGAGGGAAAGAAACAGTGTCTCTTGTTAGTGGAACGAAAACGGAAGGATAAAGACGTAAGGAAGAGAACAGGATATTGAATTTGAGGTGGAGCACTAGCGCAAGGGCCAGGCAATGAGCGACGCACGGGGGACTTGAGGGGGAACCACGAGATTCACAAATCTTCCACTCTCGAGTCGCTCACTTGCTCGTCAACTTCGAGGCCAATCTGGGAATGCAATTTGAAGATGGCAGGAAGGTTGACCGTGAGTGTTGGGAGGGCGCTGGTGAAACTTTGGAACTGTGTGAACCTCGAACTTTGCCTGTCCGGATTCGGACGTTATTTTCTCTCCATCCTGCCCTATTTCCTTCCTCTTCTGCCCCTCGGCCAGAAAACTAAAACAAGTGCCAGGCTGCTCACCTTTGATTGGTCTATCAGTAAATTAGCGCCAGAGGCTTGACTGTGTCATCTTCCTTGGCCCCTCCCTGCTCGAGGTGTCACAACCCTGCTGTCATTCTTCGTTTGAATCGAATTTCCCGCCATTCTGCACACTTTGAAAATGTCAGGGATCTTTCCCCCATTTCAGGCACTCGAAGACACTATTGGCCCACATCCTGACCAGGCCTGTCGATTCAAGAGCATATGCCCTTAATGCCCTGCACATTAAGGGCTAGTTATGCTCCAGCTCCGATGCGGCAGTTCTGGATTCGTACCTCACCCGTGCCACTAAGTGCTTCGTTCGATCCTTCCCCGGATGCGTTAAGGGACGAAACCAGTCCTTCCCCTTTATCTAAGTTTTGGTTTCCGCTCGTAGGACCCCCCCACCCCAGGGTGCCCGAGCGAGCCACGCCCCCCCACCCCCCCCCCCCCTTTCTCCTTAGCCTGCATTAGAGCGCGCCAAGGGGATTTTTCCCTTAGCGTTTTCTAGCCAACCTCGTGTGTGTAGTGTGTCTCAGTCAGCCTTGGAGCACCCGAACATTCCCTTAGTAAAATACATTGTAAGTGCAAACTTCAAACAAGCCCTGATTTCAAGTTTTCACTTTGGGGTGCGCCCGTGACCGTTAAGTGCGCCAAACCGCACACCTACACCCAACCAAGGGTCAGATGCGGAGGAGCTGGGGAGCGCAAGTACGAGCCCCAGAAACTTCGACAGGCCTGATCCTGACCCTTCCTGGCAACGTCCCTTCGGTGTAGTATATGTCTCAAACACGAACCATAGTTATCCTATCCTGAAATACTGCACAAGATCACATTCCTATACCTGTAATTGGATCTGAATCAATAGTCAGAAATACTTGCCAGACTATACCCTCGGATGACAAATATTATATAACATATATGTGTTGCCAGTATTGATGTTCCGATAGAACAAAGTGATTGTTCAATCTTTCAATGTAAGATTTCTTGATAGCATATTATTACATTAGCTAACATCGTCTTTAGTTGAAGCTATTATTTACACTTGTATGTATCTTATAAATACTTTCCTAGCGCTAGCACAAGTGAGGACAACTCCAGCAGCAGCAACTTCTGACATCAGCATCAGACACATTTGAGCTTCATCTTGTGATGTCACCAATCAATTGACAGTGTGGATCCCGCCATCTGTCAACTGTCACAACAACACTGGCAACCGATTTCCCGCCACATCAGTACTTCTGCCCCTCCCGTCAATTCCATACCGCCATCCAGGCTTGCGCGCATGCCTAACTCGCAATCGCAAGGTAGGCGCTTGGGTCAGCGCTTCCCCTCACACTTCCATCAGCGCGCATCACACTCCCTTGAGCTGGGAGGGGAGCACAGATCCCAAGGGTCTGCGGCAGGTTGTCTTGCTGCGTTCAGTGATCTCCACCAATCGGCATGCAGCCAACCAGCAGTCTTATCAGAACTCTCCACCAATAGCTAAACAGCATCTCCTATCCCACCACCTGGCCGCGTCCCCAGCCAAATGTACATCTGATGCGGCTTTATGCGGTCGGATACGTATTACCACGGTAACTCTGAGATCTAAATCGGCTGAGTAGGGTGGTAGTGGAACAGATGTTTCGGGAATCACAAATCACAATTCACTAGCGCTAGAATTGATGTCTGGTCTCGTGCTCTGCTAATGTGTCCCTCTCCACCACATCTAAGATTGCCGCTAAATGTTAGCCATCGGGGGATCTAGGGCTTGTTTCTCCCGTACATTCTTCTGGAGCATCGCCGCTGGTCCTTCAATGCGCGGTTTTCCGTTTGTCCCAAGGATCACCTTCGCACATTGCAATATAGCTCTTTATTGAATCGCTGGGAGCTTAGACCCCTGGCTGGTCGTTCTAAAATCCCTATCCAGCATTTCCTTTGAGAACGACTCGTGCACCCGTCCGATTTCGTCTTCGGCTTTCACATACCTTGCTGGTCCCTTCGCCAGAGCTGGTCCCTTCGCCAGAGCGACCAGCATACCCTCTTCCAGGCCACATTAGTTTCCAGAGTCAAGCATGGCAGCAGCATCAGCAGCGTCGTCATTAGCCGGTCAAACAGCAGCCGCGATTTCACATTTCACGGCTGCCGACATCTCTTCCTCCTCCTCCCGCCTGTCCCGCTCTTCATCTTCGCGCAGTCATCGGCCCTTGCCGAAACCGAAGCCTTCCCTTCTAACTGTCCGTTACCACAGTCAGTCAATTGTAACATCGCGTTCGCTTCCCTGCTCTCGGTTAAGCCCATGCGCGGCGTTCACGGGAGGCGGAGGAGATGGCGGGGATAACATCGGCGGAGGATGGGGGAAGGGCGGTGGCGGGGGCGGGAGCGGCGGAAATAATGGTGGTGGCGGAGGAAACGAGGGCGGAGATGGAGATTCGGGTCCGAACGACGAATATGGTGGGATTAGAGGCCGCTTGGTGGTGGCTGTTGCAGCCGCTGCAGCAGCAATAACCTTATCGTCGTCAGACGAGCTTCGTGCGCGAGCAAGCAATCCGTTATTCGCCTCAGTCTCTGCCTCCGCTTCCGCCGCCAGCGCAGCGAAACCTTCCGCGACGTCCGCCGAGGCGGAGAACGCGAAGGGGTCGGCGGAGGTCGCCATTTCCCCCTCCTCCGCCGGCTCTTCGCGTCCGTCGAACCCTCGAACCGCCGAGCTTAACGGCGACGATGACGGCTTCGGGGTGACGGACTGGCTGGGCGGCGCTTTGTACGCGTTATTGTCGAAGCACGTGGACCGGCAGATGAAGCGGCGCGTGGAGGCGGAGCGGCAGCAGGTGCTGGCGGAAGCGGCGGACATGGTGGCGGCGGTGCTGGAGGAGAAGAAAGCGCGCGAGAGCGAAGACCCCGTCGCGCACCGCTCTGAGGTAATGTGCAGGGCTGAGGTGCCTGGGACTTAAGACGAGTCGTCTATTTACGTGGGCAGTGTGTCATGATTAAGAGATAAAAACAGGGTGATGGGAAAGGGATGTTAAGGGGCGTGAAGATGGAAACGTGGGAATGGTCAAGAGGGGTTCGCATGGATGGGTAGGTGACGTTTGAGTCGTTAAAAAAAACAACTTATATAGACTTGGAAGGGGAGGCTGCGAGTGAGATATCTGGGAGAGTTCATACGGAGGGCCATTGGATGAAAGAGCGCGTGTGCCAACCGCACAGCATGCAGCGTGTGTTGCAACGTAACGAGTGGAAGGAAAGGGAACGGCAACGACTACAGCGATGCAGTGCGCGATGCGGGGCTTATTGTTAAGACTGAACTGAACGTATGAACTCAAATGCCCCCACCCCCTCTCCCCCTCATCGCTCGCATTCTTCTCATCCTCTCCTCTCCCTGCCAGGTGGGAGCTCTCCGCAGGTTGCAGCGCGAGGCCTTTCAAGACCTGCTGCGTCTAAAAGACTCCATGCATACGCTTCAGGTCGTCACCGGTCTCCGCCACCGCGACCCCCCGCGCGGACCCAACGCGCGCGCACCTCTCTCCGCCAGCAGAATCGGAGCCGCTGGCGGCGCTGCGGGCAGCGCGGGGGCGGGTGCTGGGGGGGTGACCGGCGGGGGAGCGGGGGCGGGGCTGGGGAGAACGAGGCTGGTGGGGGAGGTTTCGGGGGGGGCGGCGGTGGTTCCTGGCGCGGACGGGCCCAGGGGGCACTCCGCGCGCGCAGCGCTGGAAGAGGCGGGAATGCGGTCAGGCCTTCTGGTGAAATTCAAGTTTGAAACGCTGTGCCGCGCAGCGGATCTGCTTATAACGGAGCTGACGGCGGGGTTGGGCGAGGACAGCAGTAGCTTCATGCTGGGAGGGCCGATTAATCTGCACAAGGTGGTGTATAGCGCGGAGGTGGCGGACGGTGTGCGGGTGGTTGCGGCGCCCGTGGGGGCCACGGGCACGGATATTGCCGAGTCCATGAACCCTCTCAAGGTGCGTGCGCGCGTGTGGTGTGGGTGCGGACGGTGTGAGGGGGGTTGCGCACTGGTATTGCCGAGTCAATGAACTCTCTTAAGGTTCGTGCGTGCGTGCTTTGTGGGTGCGTGCTGTGTGCGTGTTTGCGTGACGTGTGGCCCTTACCTTCCTGAACACTCGAGTGCGGTCGTTCCTTTCTAACACGTGAATCCCCACTCCCTTATAAAGTTTTCCATAACTCCTTTTCCTACGCCATTCCTCACAACGCTCAGCCTCCCATTAGCAACCAAACTATCCTCCCATTCTCGGCACTCCCTCTCACCCACCCTCGCCTCCATCCCTATCCATGCAAGCCCAGCCTTCCTCCCTACGTATCTTAAAACATATCAACACACACCTCCTTCCCTGCACCCTCCCGTCCCAACCCACCCGTCCCCATCCCTCCTCCCAATTTCCCCCAACCCCCTCTCCCCTCCTCCCAATCCCCCGGTCCCATCAGAACCAAGGCCTGACTCGCTTCGCCTCGAATGGCATTCCCCTGCATCAGCGCGCCAAGGGCACGGCTCTCGGCCTCTCCCTAGCCAGCTCCTCCGCCTCTTTCTCGATAGCCCAGTTCCTGCATGGATGGGGAGTCACTCCTGACGCTGCAGAGGGTGGCGATGCTAGCGCAGGTCTCTGCTCATCTTCTATGGTTCAACTCGCGCTTCAGCCTCAGGATAATGTGCTCCTCTCCTTCTCGGCTCTCCGGCGGGTGTGGCCTGCTCCCCCGCTCCCGTCTGCTCCTGGCCTGCATTGGTCCGAGCTCGGCCCGATGGTGCTCCCGAGGCTGCTGCCGTGGTTCGGCGGGAGGTCCGGCGGCGTGGTTGTGGGGAAGGAGGATCCTACCCGGGCTGCTCCGGCGGGAGTGGATGAGTATTCTGGGAGTGAAGGGAGGGAGCTGTGGCTGCCACCGCCAATGGATCCTACTATTGTTCAATCAGTGGCAGTGGCAGGGGCTGTGAGGCTGAATGCGAGGACGACTATTGCTGCATGGGCACAGGCGGAAGGTGGGGAGTGGGTTCCTGAGGAGGCTCAGAAGCGATTGCAGTGGTCTCTTTCCCTGCTGCGGCAAGGGAAGGGCGAGGCCGGGGAGGAGGAGGAGGTAGAGGAGGAGAGCGGGGAGGCTGGAGAGGAGGAGGAGAAGCAGGAGGTGCGACGGGGGGGAGCAGCAGCAGCAGCAGCAACAGCAGCGCCGGTGTCAGGAACTGGGAGTGGAGATGCGAGCGGGGAGCCAAAGAAGCAGACAACAAAGAAGAATAAGAAGGCAGGCTGGGGCGTGTGGAAAACGCTAGACAAGGCCGGATACGGCCTGTGCTTGGGGATCATGCAACCAGACGCGGTTACAGCAGCAGCAGGGCCAAGCTCGAGCGGCAGCGGTAGCGGCGGCATGGGAGCGGTAGCAGGCGGAGGAGGAGGGGGTGGGGAGGGGAACGGGGGAATGGGGCATGGAGGGTTGCTACCTGGGCAGCTTCAGGCAGAGGCGTTTGCGAGGGTGACGTGTGGGCAGGGAGTGGTGCTGCAGCCGGGGATAGTCGTTGCGATGAATGAGCACTCAGGGTGCCACCCGGCCCTCATGCTCCGCACCTCGTGGTCTCTCTGAGTGGGCAAGACTGCCGTCAATTCAGCCGGCCCTTTTTACCTTTTGACTTGTTCTCTCTGCCTTTTTTTCGTGACTGGGTGCTTGTGTCCTTGATTGGACTGCTTTTCTTTCCTGTGCTGCGGTTATTGCAGCAAATGCACACTGTGGATCATGTGTGTGTGTGAGGGAAAAGGAGAGTGTGTGTTTCTGTGTGTGAAAGGGTTTGGTTTATTCCATAAGTTAGGGAGAAGCTATATGAATGAGATGCTGAGTAGTGTGTAGGAGTTCATACGGTAGGAGTGCACAGGGGTGAGGGAGGGAGGAAGATGAGGGTTGGGAGAGGGGATGGAGAGGAGACTTTATGGTGCTGTCACTAAATAGCAGGAGCAGGAAGGCTGCTCCTAGTTTGAAGGATCTGGTTTCAGAGACTGCTTTTCCCTGTGGCTCTTTATAGGGGTATTATTTACAGTAATATAATAGGACTTCTTGGTGAGGGTTCAGTATTTAAAACTACGGATATCTGGCACTCCTGTGTGGTGCAACACTGATTGCCTTTTGTGAAGTGTAATATGCTCTTCTACACTGACTGACAGGCAGAACCCCTGTCTCACATTCATGGCTAAACAAACAAGGTGCTAGGAGCGGTGACGAGGGGTGAGAGAGCAACTACATAATCTTATGAAGGCCATGAGTCGAGTCATGTCCAGACATACCGTAGTACACACGAGGGTTTAGTGTGTCAGTCTGTTCATGTTCAACCGAGAAGGGAACGCAGCAGAGCAGAGCAGAGCAGAGCACCATGCAATACACATGCTGCTGTGCTGCTGCTGCATTGTACGGCATAAGTGCCACTCTGCTGAGTATCTGCAAGCTATTGACACACTAATTACTGGTACAAGCGTTTCCCCCCTCAAAACACCCAACCAACCTAGCCCAACCTAACCAAATCCAACCGGACCCAACCCAACCCAACCCACCACTAATGGTCCGACTGACAATCAGCCCATCCATTCCTAGACCTCCTCTTCCCCAAATTTTCCAGTGCCATACATCGGCTGCAATCCAACCCTCACCCCACCGTTTTGCCACTTTCATCTACTCCCCCTTCCTTGTTCGCCTCCGTTCCTTCTTCACTACTCTTCTGCTCCTCGCAAATCTTTTCCCCTCGTCTGCGCTCCTCCTCACCCCTCTCGCACCTCATCCTTGCTCCTCACCCCTCTTGCCCCTAACCCTCCTTGCTCCTCACCCCTCTCGCCTCCGCATCATTCTTTTTTTTTGGACCCATTTAACCAACCCTGGCCTCCCCATTTAGCTAAGCTCTAAGCTTCCACCCACTCCTCATCTCCCCCAACTTTGCACCTCCACCACCACTAACAGCTTCCTTCCCACGATTATCTTCCTTCCCACTGTCATCTCCCTTCCCCATCACTTCCCTCCCCGACCCGTCCCTTCCTTCCCACTCTACCATTCTTCGCCTCTCCCTCCCCTCGCTTCTCCCTCTCTCCCCTCCCTTCTCCCCCCGTCCCCTCACCCCCCTGTGTTCCATCCCATGCTTCTTCCAGCAGCAATGCCGACACGCCTTCTGCTCTGCTTATCTTGCTCTTTCCTCTCAATCCACTGCTGCTCCCACGACTGCTACCAGCAGCACTGCCACTCCCACTCCCACTCCCACTCCCACTCCCACTCCCACTCCCACTCCCACTCCCACCACCACTGCCTATCCCTCCAGACAGCCTTCTAGTCAGCTTCTTTACTACTTTTCCTTCCTTCCCTCTTCCCTCCTCCTCTCCTCCCGCCCCCCCACTTCCATGTGCGGGCGGGGGAGTAGAAGCGGGGTTAAGTGAATTGCTATGGCTGTGCGGGGGCGGGAGAGGTGCGTCACACGCTGCTGCAAGAGCGGCACGAGAAGCAGACGGGGTCTTTCGAAGACGGGGCTTCGAAGGTGTTCCCGTTCCTCCTCCTCCTCCTCCTCCTGCTCCTCCTCCACTCACTCCTCCTGCTCCTTCTAGCCCTGCTACGCTCGATCCTGAATCACTGCCATACCCACTCCCACCCAAGGCTCCACTCAAGTCGATGCTACTGCCACTACCCAACGACCCTTTACCTCTCTTCAGTTTCCTCACTGGCTTATCCTTACCACCAGCACCAGCACCAGCACCAGCACCAGCACCACCAGCCCCTTCATCTGCGCTTGACCAGTCACTAGCCCCGCCGATAGACCCCTGTTTCTTCCTCACCTTCCCACTACCCGTTCGCTGCACTCTCGCAGGCTTACCCTCCCTGCTCTCCCCATCTGCAGCGCTCTCATTCCCGGCCCCATCTGCCACAGCAGCAGCAGCAGCAGCAGCAGTAGAAGGTGAAGCAAGAGCATCGGCAAAGTTTCCACTACCTAGGGAGGACCGTCGTACTATCCTCTTCTTTACACCCCCAGCTGCACCCGCAGGGGGGAGCGATGACACCCCCTCTGCTACTCCACTTGCTGCTGCTCCTGCCGCTGCCCCTGCTCCTGTTGCTACACTAGCACCAGCAGCAGCAGCACCCGTCCCATCCCCCTGCCCACCTAAAGAAGGTTGTCGATTGACCTTGCCGGCCTTCCCTTTCCCCCCTCGCTTCAGTGCCAACTCTCCTGCTGCTGCCTCTCTGCTTCCCTCCCCTTCTGTGACCCCCTCTGCTCCTCCTCCTGCTTCCACTGCATCAGCTGCTGCATCTGCTGCACCTCCTCCCTGCCCTTCCAAAGGGCTGCTGGCAGCACTGCTGCTGCTGCTGCTATTGCTAGAGACACCAGCAATCAAATGGGAGATCTGCCCGCTCCCACCGCTGCTGCTGCTGTCCCCACCTTTCGACCTCCGCAAGCGTCTCACGGGTGCTGCTACTGCCTCCCCTGCCGCTGCTCCTCCTGCTGCTGGTCCTAGTCCCAGCTTCCTACCTCTGCCTTCTCCCCCTCTATCTTCCCCTCCTCTTTCCTCCCCATTGACAGCAGAAGGAGAGTTCTCAAACCCACCTCCCAGATCCCCCCTTTCCTCCCCTCCCCACTCTCCCCCACTCCCTCCCAGTCTCATCTCCCTTAGCTGAGCTTCCGCCTCTGCCACTGTCCCTCCGCTACGAGCCAAACCATGCCGGCCGCGAGAGGAAAGCCCTGCTGCCGAACCTGCTGCTTTGGCTCGGGGTAACCTAGGGGGGCTATGCCCTGTACTGTTGCTCATAGGGAAACCCATCGCTGCTGCTGCTCCTGCTGCTGACAACTTCTTGGGAGGGGAGCGGGAAGGGGAGGAGCGGGAGGGGGACGAGCGGGAGGGTGAGGAGGAGGATGGGGAGGAGGAGGTAGATGGGGGGTTTGAGGAGTGTTTGGATTGAGCGGAATTTTCAGACACAGATCGACCGAAGCGTTGGCTTGATTGATGGTGGTGGTGGTGGTGATGCTGCTGCTGGTGGTGCTGCTGGTGGTGTGTTGGTGGTGATCTCGAGTGTGGTTGGAAAGACGAAGGCGAGAGGGGGGGTAACCCTGAGGGGTGTATGTGCTGGTGTGTATAATCTTCTGTTGCTCCTGCTCCTTCTTGTGATGCCCCTGCTCCTTCTCCTGCTGCTGAAGCAGCATTGTCGAACCTTTCTAAACCGGCACTGCCGCTTTCTGTTCTCTCATTCACCTCCCCTGCCTCCCCACTCCCTTCTCCTTCTCTCTCTCCTTGCCCTGACACTCCCTCCCTACCCTCCTCCTCTCGCCTTTCACCCACCCCCACCGTTCCTCCATTTGTTCTCAACTCACCCCCATCCCTCCCACCAGCAACCCCATCTCTCGCCTCCTCCTCCTCTTCATTCTCCTCCTCCTCCTCCTCCTCCTCCTCCTTCCGCCCATCATCTTCCTCCTCGTCCTCTTCATCCTCCACCGCCCCTTTCTTCCAAACAGCGCGCCCCAACATACCAGAAACGCTCCCTTTCCCCATCCCTTTCCCCATCCCTTTCCCCATCCCTTTCCCCTTTTCTTTCCCCTTCCCTTTCCTTTTTCCCTCCCCACCCCTGATCCCCTCCGAATAAGACTGGCCTGACCGGCCATTCTCACCAGAATCATCAGCTAACGCCTTGACCAACTCCCCCTCTACCATCTGCTCCTCCCCTTCCGCCTTCCCCTCCTCTTCCCCTTCCTCCTCTAACAATATCCCTTCGCCTCCATCCTCCTCCTCTGCTTCAGAGAAATCATCATCTTCATCATTATCATCACCATTATCAACATCACCATCACCATCACCCTCCACATCCCCTCTCATCCCTCCTTCTGTCGACTGACTTTCCTTCTCTGAAATTTCTTCCCCTTCCCCTTCTTCTTCCTCTTCCCCTTCCCCATCCACCTCCCCTTCCACTTCCGCTCCCTCCTCTCCCTCTCCCTCCTCCCCCTCCCCCCCCTCCTCCCCTTCCTCCCCCTCCTCCCCTTCCTCCTCCCCTTCCTCCTCGCCATCATCCTCGTCCTCATCCTCCTCCTCCTCTGTGCGTCCCTTCAGGTTCCGGATCACTTTCACTCGCACCACTTGGTTAAAACGAACGCTTCTCTTTGGTCTCGCCTCGCCTCCTTCCCCCTCCGCCCCTTCCCCATTCCCCCCTGCCGGCTTTCTTCTCAGGGAGCTCTTTCGCTTCAACTCCACTCCCCCCGCCCCCCCTGCTCCCCCCATCCCCCCCATTCCCCCGCCCACTGCAGGGCCACCATTTCCCCCACCAAATTCCCCACCATACTCTTCCCCTTGCTCCCACCCCATATCCTCCCCTTCCTCCCCTTCCTCCCCTTCCTCCCCTTCCTCCCCTTCCAACCCCTCCCCTTCCATCCCCATCCCCATCCCCATGCCCATGCCCATGCCTGAATGCTCTGTATCCCCATAGGGCCCTTCCATTTCCATTCTCCCCCCAGCGGTGTTCGACCGAGTGATTGCCCCAGGCCTCATCATTCCCCCCCGCCCCAACCCCCTTCCCCCTCCCCCTGCCCCCTCCCCAAACTCCCCTTCCCCATCTCCGCCCCCCCCATCCCCCCTCAGCCCTGCCGCCCCAGTGGTATTGCTCCGCCTCATCATGCCATTGCCCCGCCCCCTCCCCACTCCCCCTTGCATTCCCCCCTGGTTGTTCCATCCCCTCCCCCTCCCCTCCATCCCCTGTGCGCCCATGCCCCGCCCATACGCTCCCCCTCTTCCCCCCATGGCCTTCCCCCCGCCTCTGCCCATCCCCCTCCCCATCCCCATTCCCCCATACTCCCCCCCTTCATACTCATACCCCTGCTGCTGCTGCTGCTGCTGCTGTGGTGTTTGCATCCCCCCCATATGCCCCATCCCCCTTCCTCTCCCCATCCCCCCCATTCCCCCCATTCCACCATATCCGCCCCCCATCCCCCCCCCTGCGCCCATCTGTCCGCCATAGTCCCCCTCCCCATACCCATATCCGCCTTCCCACCCCCCCATCTCCTCCCCATACGCATCTCCCCCCATCTCCCCCCCATACTGTCCCCCATACCCCCCTTGCTCTGCATACTCTCCCCCATACCCCCCCTGCTGATCCATATACCCCCCTTGCTCCCCGTATTGCCCCCCATACTCCCCGTATTCCCCCATTCCCCCGCTTCCTCCCCCATACCCTCTCCCCCAACTCCCCCCTGCGCCCATCCCCCTCCCCATTCCCCCGTATTGCTGCATGTACTGTTGCTGCTGTTGCATACCCATGCCCATATGCATCCCCCCCCCATGCATTCCCCCTCCATGCATTCCCCCCGCATGAATGTTCCCCCCATGCGCATTCCCCCCGTGCATCCCCCCCCCATGCATCATCATCTGCTGTTGCTGCCAGTTTCCCCCCATCCCTCCCCCTCCCCCTCCCCCCCGCCCATATGCTCCCGGACTAGGCAACACAAACCCTCCCCCTCCGCCTCCCCCTCCCCCCGCGCCCTGTCCGCGCCCATACGGGCTAAACGGCGCTCCCCCAGCCGCCCCCGCCCCGCCATACCCCATGGGGGAGATGGGGGGCGCGGGGAGGGGCGCGTGGGGGAGGTTGGGCGCGTGGGGGAGGGTCTGGGGTGAGAGGAACTTGGCCTGCCAGGCGGAATGCGCCTCAGACACGAATTCCGCGGCTGTTTTGGTGTCCACCACTCGCTCTATGCTGCTCGCTGCTGGGGGTAGGGGCGTGCCTGGGGGGAAGGGGAAAGGGAGGGATGGGGGGGAGGGAGGGGGGAGAGAAGGGGAGAGAGAATGGGGAGTCTGTTTGTGGCTTGGCGCGTTAAATGGGGGTCTGAAGGGAAGGGAATGCGCCCCTGAGACGAATTCCGCGGCTGTTTTGGTGTCCACCACTCGCTCTATGCTGCTCGCTGCCGGGGGCAGGGGCGTGCCTGGGGGAAGGGGAGGGGGGGAGGGAGGGGGAGGGGGAGGAGGGGAAAATGGTGAGAGGGGATGGGCGATGGGGGAAACCGGAGGAAATGTGTGGAATGTGGGGAAGGAGCAAGAACGTGGGGGGGGGGGGGGGGGGGGGGGGGGAACAGTGAGTGCAAGGAATGTGTACTGTGCGTGAGAAAGCATGCACACAGTCGGGAGGTATGCGGCATGGAATAATGACGGGCCGAAGCAGCAGCAGCAGCAGCAGCAGCAGCACTGGTTTCAGGGAGGAGGATGGGTAACCAAAGCACATGGAACCCACATCGCACCACACCGCACCTCACAGCACCGAACTGCACCTCACCACACCGCACTGTACCGCACCGCACCTGGCTGGTGGTGGTAAAACGCCTCCAACCACTCGCGAATCCCCGCAAGCGTCTCCTCCAGAGTCTCCAAGCTCGCCTTGCTCATATAATCACACACCTCCGCAGCCTCGGGATCATCCGCCGCTACAGTCACCAGCGTCCACACCCACTGCCCCGGCCCCACGGCCACACAAATCGCCACCAGCGGACACACCTCATACACCTCCCCGGTCCAGGACGGGTTGGTGCCTATTTCTACCACTTGCACTGGCTGCCCGCCTAGGTTTGCCGCGGTTACTCCCGTCCCGTCCCCTATCCCGCCGGTAGCACCGGCAGCAGCGGCGGCAGCGGCGGCGGCGGCGGCAGCGGCAGAAGCGCCGGGTTTGAGCACCCAGGTCTGGGGCAGAAGGCCGCAGTTGCAGGGTGCGGGGACTTCAAACGGCTTGGCGAGACGCCCCGCCGCGGAAGGCTTCTGCTGCAGCATTGCCGCTACGGTGGACGTGCGGGGGAGGACTCTTTTCAGGCGCAGCGGCGTGTTGGGTTCTGAGCACGCGAGATCAAATCCCACGACGGAGTCTCGGGGTGTTTGGCAGATGAAGTGGAGGAGCGAGGCCGGGGAGAAGAGCGGGAGGTCATGCCATGGGGAGACGATGTGCCCGTCTGGTGTGGAGAACATGATTCGGTAGCTCGTGGTGCCGGGTACGCCGCATTCCATGGTTTGCCATGCCTCCTGCTGCTGCTCCCCTTCCTGCTCCCCCTGCTGGTACTGCTGCTGCTGCTGCTGTGGAGAATACTGCTGCTGCGGATACTGCTGGTGAGGCTGCTGCTGCTGCTGCTGCTGCTGCTGCTGCTGCTGGTACTGCTGGTGCTGGTGATGCGTGTTTTCCTCCGCTTCCATTCCCTCGTTGCCCACGTGGCACTGTCCCTTGTGGTTGCTGGTGCTGCTACTGCTGCTGTAACCGCCGTGTCCCGCGCTGCTGCTGTTGCTACTGTTACTGCTGCTCCAGGTCACACTAACCGGGCTTGCACTGGACGTACTGTAACTGCTGCAAATGCTGTTACAGTTACCGTTACAGTTACAGTTGCTGTTGCTGTTGCTGCTGCCGCGGCTGATCCAACTGCTGTTACTCGCCGGACTGCTGAAGCCGCTCTTCTGCAGCAACGAAGAGCTGCGAAATGCTGAGTTAGGGTTACCAGCGTTGCTGTAGCTAGCAGGGTTACTTGGGTTACTGCGGTTACTAACGTCACACGGATTTCCAGAACTATTAAGGTTACCCCCACTAACAGCGCTTCCGCAGTCACTATGTCTGTTAGCAATCCTACTATTTAACTTGTGGGGAGGACTCGTGTTAAACTGCTGCGCGCCAATCGCGCCAGTCGGGCAAATCGCGACCCCCGCTCCGCCTGAGCTCGTGAAACTATCCCCCTCGTCGGCGCGAATCTGCGCAGATGTTTCCGCTACTCCCGCTTCTTCTGCCTCTTCCGCTTCTTCCGCCAAGGCTACCGCGCCTTGATCCTGGCCGGTCCGCGGAGCACCGGCACCGCTACTTCCGACAACACCCCCGGCCGCCCCGCCCCCCGCTTCACGCGCGGAAGCGTCGGCGGACGCTTTGGCGGAAGCTTTGGCGGAAGCGTTAGCGGAAGAGTTGGCGGAAGCTTTGGCGGAAGCGGAGGGCGCGCAGCGCGGCTGGGTTGCTGCTGCTAGCGGCTTGGCTCGGGCGGCGGCTGGGCGCACCCCCATGGAAGGGCCCCGAGCGTACTAGTTCCGAGGCGCCTCGCTACGGGCGCCGAACGCGCTAGCGCACTGTGCGGCTTTCGCGCGACTGGTCGCCGGTACTGCTGCAGCTGCAGCTGCTGCTGCTGTCATAGTTTCGCGGCGCCTCAAAAGCAGGTGCTGTGGCGGTTACTCGTTGCTGTTTCTGCTGCTGATTATTGTGATGGTGATGATGATGGTGCTGCTGTCGCAATGGCACGAAGCGCATTTCCCAGCGCGATTTAGTCCCGCTAGAGAGTATTTCCGAGACGAGTCGTTTCTCAGTGCCGATTCCCCTGGAAGAGCGAGGTAGGTTGAGGAAGAGAAAGAATTAATAATCTCCTCCGCAGGAAGGTTGAGGATGGTTCAGCAGCTACGGCGCATGGACAAGAGGTGAGTTTTGAGTCGACTTGAAAGTCACTACTATGGCGGGCCGGCGATCTCGAGGCTCGCTCGCAGCTGCGGGGCGCGCGAGAGACGTTTCGTGATGATCAGTCGACAAGCATGTCGTGGCGCGAGAGGCGTTTGAGACGGCTTCAATCCACTACACCCACCTAATCTGCTGTGGTCCTCCTCCTGTAGTCCCGTGCTCCTGGCCTCCTAAGCTACGCTGCTGTTGCTGCTGCTGTTGCTGCTGCTGTTGCTGCTGCTAATGAGGCGTACTCCGTGCTGTGCTGCTTCTGTTGTTGCTGCTGTGTGTGTGAGTGATACGTACTCAACTGTGTGGTTGCGGGGGGGAAGGGCGGAAAAAGTTGGTTCGGTTCGGTTATATGTTTTCGTCGTGGCGTGCGGGTGCTGCTCTTCTCTGCTGCTGCTGGTGCGCTTGCTGGGCGGCAAGCCCTGCTTTGTTCAGTAAAGCGGACAGGAGGGAGGGAGGTACCTACAGGTTGTTTGTCACACGGCGATTATGACAGAGCTCAGGCTGGGTCACAAGAGATCATGGTTGACTGCAGTTTTGTGCTTTTATAAGCGGTTGTTTACACATTTTTTTTATGCTCTGTACATTTGTGTTAAGGATAGCCATTGTTAAAACCAGAATATAAAATAATGAACCCTGTCCCAACTTGAAATGGTGTTCCAGAGAACGGGCCGATAGAGCACTGTTCCAAAGAAAATGAGCAGGGGCTTGAACAAATGTGATTGGCTTTCGCCAATCTTGTGCTGTCTTGTTCCCGCCAAAATGTTTTTCCATCCGGATCTCCCTCGTCGCACATTTTCGTGCTACACCTGTACGACGGTTAAAGGCGACAGGGAGAAAACTTGTCGACAGGGAGGGAGGGGAGAGCGAGGGTGACGGACATCGGACGAAAGCGCGATGGCGAAGGCGCGATACAGGAAACTAGCCCATGCAGAAAGGTAACGAAAGCCTGCGGAGGGGAAATTCTTACGATACTATGCTACGCGACAGTCTTATGCATTCCTGGAGGGTCGAGCGCGATACCTACCTTGGCCACAAACACCTATTGTTGCCAGCTAAAATATGCTAGGAATATAACTAGTGACTTCGGGATGGTGAGCAGGTGGTCATGAAACCCAGTTCCAACTTGAAACCAACGTTGGCCTGGCGACGGAAACCATCGCCAAACGTCCTCGTCGACGGTTGCTCTCTCCCTGAAATGCCCGCCTCCTAACGCCTTTCTTCTCTCCCCTCCCATCGCCTGCTCGCTCTCCCTCCCGTCGCCTTCTTCTCTCCCCTCCCGTCGCCTGCTCGCTCTCCCTCCCATCACCTTCTCTCCCCTCCCGTCGCCTTCGCGCTCTCTCCCCCGTTGCCTTCGCGATCTCCCTCCCGTCGACTGCGCGCTCTTTCTCCCGTCGCCTTCGCGCTCTCTCCCTCGTGGCCTTCTCGCTCTCCGTCCCATCGCATGGGCGCTCTCCCCTCCCCTCGTGGCCTTTCTTCTCTCCCCTCCCATCGTCTGCTCGCTCTCCCTCCCGTCGCCTTCTTCTCTCCCCTCCCGTCGCCTGCTTGCTCTCCCTCCCGTCACCTTCTTCTCTCCCCTCCCGTCGCCTTCACGCTCTCTCCCCCGTTGCCTTCGCGATCTCCCTCCCGTCGACTGCGCGCTCTCCCTTCCGTCGCCTTCGCGCTCTCTCCCTCGTGGCCTTCTCGCTCTCCATCCCATCGCATGGGCGCTCTCCCTCCCGTCGCCCTTGCAATTTCCCCTCTCTTCCCGTCGCCCACTTCATCTCCTATCGCTCACGTCCTCCCTTCCCGTCGGCATCGCGCTCACGTTCCTCCCTCCACTCGACATCGCCCTCACGTCCTCCCGTCCCGTCGTTCGCCTCCTCTCTCCCATCCCGTCGTTCACCTCTTCTCCCCTCCCACCCCATCGTTCGCTTCCTCTCCCCTCCCATCCCGTCTTTCGCCTCCTCTCCCCTCCCATTCCGTCGTTCCTCCTCTCTCCCCTTTCTTCCCGTCGCTTTTGCACTCTCCCCTCCCATCCGCTGGTTATTACCTTCCCAAACTTATTTTCTCCACCCTTTTTTTTTTTACTTCTTTCAGCCCCAAGTCCAAGGATATGTATTTTAGCGCAGCTCTGCTCTCATCTCTTGCATATGGGTGTGTGCTGGATTTTCCCTGTGTTGCTGATTGATGTGAGTTTTGGTGAAGTCACATGAGCGCTCGAGTGAATACAGGCATTGCAACCCCTTGCGCCAAATTCGCACACAAGTATGTGTGAGTTGTGTGTGAGTTACGCTGCCAGTCAGAATTGTACACATGGTCAAAATGTTCTCCGTTCACAATGGCGTTGTTCTGCAGGCGTTTAGGGTTCCGCACCAATTTGACCGAGGTAGCCTTCCGTGCATTTTCTAGGCGCATTCATGCTGGTTGCGTTGCGCGGATGTTGCTGCCTCGCATAACATGTGCGGAGGCTGATGCTAGCTCCCGAGGTAGAATTAGCACCGCACTAGTTGTGCGGCCATTTGCCCGGCGAAGCAACAACTTCGAGCCTGCAGACGGTTAAATTTGTGCGCCCCAAAAGTGGCGTTCTGCAGGCTGATGCGTTAAATTTGGCGCAAACAGGTTCGGCAGGACCTTTCTTATCACCAAACCTTGATAGGCAGAAAACCACTTATCAACGAAGATTCTGTGGACCCAGTTTTTGGAATTTTAACGCGTACAGCACCAATGAGACGCGTATGGGGTGGAAAAATAAAAAGCACAGCACTTCCAACTTTCCGAAGTGTTAAAAAAAAAAACTCTGTTTTCAAGTGGACCCAACTAGAAGGGGGGGGTCACTATTTTAGCTGCTGGCTTTTGTTGAGAACAAACAATCTTAAGCGCCTCAGTCGTGTCGAAACACCAAGGCACAAGCGTAACAGAGCATATCGAGGCACCAGCGAGTCAACCCTCGGAGGTTGAAGTAACCGCTGGAGGTTACGCGAAAGTCAAAGGTCAGCGACCTTTGACTTGACAAATGCAGCGCGACAGCAAGGACACACAACTGACTCGACATTGAGCAGCTGCCCGAGTCGCACTGTATCGAACCGCAACAGTAAAACAGTTTAATTATATCTCTTCGTATTCTTTGTACTCTTATATAAACCTTTGTACTTGCTTGTTCTAAACAACTTACTTTGCCCTCACATACCTGTCAAATTATCATGTTGTGTAGGCTGAAGTGGGGTAGCCTATATGGGGTACACAATGCTAGGGTTGCATACTTGTATCACTTTCATTCCTTAGTGTTTCATTCTCGTTTCAGTTTTCTCATGGTATCGAGCAGGTTCCCTCGTGGGAACTGTGCCTAGGGCCCACCAAGTCGAAAGTTTTTTTTTTCCTGCCCGGAGCGCGCTCAGCCCGAGTCGCGCTCCCCTCTCTGACTTCATCGAGCCGCCCTAGCGGCCAAGTCGCGCCGCCTTAGCGGCCCCTGATTCGTCGCCCTAGCGACCCCGTCGCCCTACCTACGGCCCCGGCCCCGTCGCCCTACCTGCGCCTCGGCCCCGTCGCCCTACCTACGCCCCGGCCCCGTCGCCCTAACTGCGACCCTGGCCCCGTCGCCATACCTACGGCCCCGGCCCTAGCCCCGTCGCCCTACCTGTGCCCCGGCCCCGGCCCCGTCGCCCTGCTTGCGACCCCGGCCCCGTCGCCCTGCTTGCGACCCCGGCCCCGTCGCCCTACCTGTGCCCCGGCCCCGTCGCCCTACCTGCGCCCCGGCCCCGGCCCCGTCGCCCTACCTGCGTACCGGCCCTGTCGCCCTACCTTCGACCCGGCCCCGTCGCCCTACCTACGGCCCCGCCCCGCCGCCCTACCTGCGGCCCAGCCGCCCTACCTGCGGCCCAGCCGCCCTACCTGCGGCCCCGCCGCCCTCACCTGCGGTCCCCGCCGCCCTTACCTGCGGCCCCCGCCGCCCTTACTTGCGGTCCCCGCCGCCCTCACTTGCAGCCCCGCCGCCTTCCCTGCGGCCTCGTCATCTGCTGCAGCGCCGCCCGCCACCCGAGCCGCCCGAGCCGCCTCACCTAGCCGAGCAGCCGACCGCCGCGCCGCTGTACAGCAGCATAGCCGAGCCGCCCAGCAGCTGAGCAACCGGACAGCCGAGCAGCCGAGCCGCCCTGCAGCCGAGCCGCCCAGCAGCCGAGCACCCGAGCCGCCCAGCAACCGAGCCGCCGTGCAGCCGAGCCACCGAGCCGCCGAGCCGCCCTACCTCCGAGCCGCCCGAGCAGCCCCGTCCGGTAAGCACAGCGCCTCTGTCACTGCACTGCCCTTTCCCTACTGTGTGCGCTGCTAGTCTACTGTTGTCATGGCTACCCCTAGTGTCCTCGCTTTTGACGCCGAGGGTCGAGCCATTGACTTTGACGTCTGGATAGATGACCTGCAGCTGTTCTTACAGTGCGATAGGGCAGACGGTCTCTCCCTCTTTGACCTCACCTCTGGTGCCTCTCCTGCTCCTGCTGCTGATGCTGACGCCACTGTTCGCTCACAGTGGGCCACGCGCGATGCTGCTGCACGTCTTGCTGTGCGTCGCCACCTCCCTACCTCTGAGCGTGCGCACTTTAGTCAGTACAAGAGTGCTCAGACCTTGTACGACGCTGTAGTTGCACGCTACTCCTCCCCTACCACTGCTGCATTGAGCCGTCTCATGCTACCGTACCTCTTCCCTGACCTTGCTGCCTTTCCCACAGTCGCTGACCTCATTACGCACCTCCGCACTAGTGACACTCGCTACCGCGCTGCGCTTCCTGCTGACTTCTGCGCTAAGAACCCCCCCCCCCCATGTACATCACTCTCTACTTTTTAGTCACTCGCCTCCCTGACTCCCTTTGCGTAGTCAGGGACCACTTCCTCTCAGTCTGTCCCACCACTCTCATTGTTGACCTCCTCGAGAAGTCCCTCCTAGCGGCCGAGAAGAGCATAGTCGCTGTAGGGGCCTCTCGTGGTGACCCGCGCACCCCCATCTCTGAGGGGTGTTCCCCCTCCCCCCTTCTGCCCTCTGTTGCCTCTGCTGCTGCGGCCGACCTCCTTGGTCTTGAGTCGGTCGGTGCGGCGTCTGCCCCGAGCGGGAGACGCCGCTCTGGCAAGGGCAAGGGGGGCAGGGGCACTGGAGGAGCGAGCGGGGGCGGTGGAGGTGGAGGTGGAGGCGGCGGGGGGAGTGGGGGTGGCGGTGGAAGTGGAGGTGGGGGTGGAGGTGTCGGTGGCGGCAGTGGAGGCGGAGGCGGCGGCGGCGGTGGCGGTGGGAGCGGAGGTGGCGGAGGTGGCGGCGGTGGAGGAGGCGGCAGAGGCGGCGGTAGTAGCGGAGGCGGCGGAGGCGGCGGGGGTGGCGGTGGAGCTGGTCGCGGGTCTACGCAGAGGAGTGGCTACGGTGGTGGTCCGCGCCAGCAGCAGCAGCGCGGTCGTGAGACCCCGTCCCCTCAGCAGCTCCGTGAGTGGTACACTGCACGCCAGCGGGGTGGGGGCTTTGGTCCGTGCACCTACGTCCTGCACACCGGCGACCGTGCGGGTGAGCAGTGTGGGGGTGCGCACCCCACCCAGCGCTGCTTTGGCCGCCCGACGGACGAGCGGCGTCACCAGTTCCCGGAGGCCACAGAGATTCCTCGCTGGGGCGAGCTGTCTAGGGCGGGAGTTGCCATCTATGATCTTGATTTTGATGCTATCCTTTCTGCCATGTATGCTGTGTCTATTAGTGATGAGGGTGACTGTTACCGGTGTTTCCCGCCCGACCCGGGCATTGAGACTGCTGCTCTAGGTACTGGTGAGGCTGCTGCTCTAGGTGCCAGTGAGGCTGCTGCTCTAGGTGCCAGTGCGTCTGCGTCCTTAGGTGCTGGTGAGTCTGCGCTCGCAGGTACCGCGTCGGCTTCGGCCACCCTCACCTTCACACTTGACGTAGGGGCTTCTCGCTCCTTCTTTCGAGACCGCACCACACTCACGCCGCTTGGTCGGCCGGTTGCAGTCTCCCTGGCAGACCCCTCTGGGGGTCCTGTCCTTTCTCACTTCTCCACTGTCCTCCCGTGTCCGGCGGCCCCCTCTGGCACCTTGTCTGGTCCTTACCTCCCCTCGTTCTCTACGAACTTGGTGAGTGGTGCTGACCTACAGGATGCGGGGGTTCACCAATTTACTCCTGCGAGTCAGCGGGTGACCCACTGCTCGCACGCTCGCACAGGCCGGCACCTGGCCACGTTTACGCGTCGGCCAGGGTCGAGCCTGTACACCCTGACCACTGAGTCTCCTCCTGTCCCTGCGTCTGGTCAGGTACCTGCGTCGCGTCAGGTGTTTGCTGCAGCGTCCAGGTCTGGTCCTGAGTCTGCCCCCTGCTCGTGTCACCTCCTGTCTCACGAGACTCTCCTCTGGCACCACCGCCTTGGTCACCCCTCCCTGCCTCGTCTCCGAGGCATGGCCTCCCGTGTCCTTGTCTCTGGTCTTCCCCGGTCCCTCCCTCCCCTTCCTCTGGGGCCTGGCCCCACCTGCGTCCCCTGTGTCGAGGGGCGGCTGCGGGCTGCCCCTCACTCCTCTCAGTTTCCCCCGACAGAGGCCCCGCTGCAGACGCTTCACATGGACGTGTGGGGCCCAGCCCGCGTCCGTGGACAGGGTCACGAGCGCTACTTCCTGCTGGTGGTTGACGACTACTCGCGTTACACCACAGTCTTCCCCTTGCGCAGCAAGGGTGATGTCACTGAGGTGTTGATCGACTGGATCCGCGCAGCTCGTCTCCAACTCAGGAGGAGCTTCGGCTCGGACTTTCCTGTTCTGCGTCTGCACTCTGACCGAGGCGGAGAGCTCTCCTCTGGCCTTCTGCGAGCCTACTGTCGTGCGCAAGGCATCCGCCAGACCTTTACGCTTCCGGACTCTCCACAGCAAAATGGGATTGCTGAGCGCCGCATTGGCATGGTCCTGGACGTCGCCCGTACGTCCATGATGCATGCGGCTGCCCCCCATTTTCTGTGGCCGTTTGCGGTTCGGTACGCGGCGCATCAGATCAACCTTCACCCCAGGGTCTCCATGCCGGAGACCTTTCCAGCTTTGCTGTGGACGGGGAAGGTTGGCGATGCGTCTGCGTTCCGTGTCTGGGGATCTCGGGCGTTTGTCCGCGACTTGTCTGCGGACAAGCTGTCCCCTCGTGCTGCTCCTTGCGTCTTCCTTGGCTTCCCCCCTGACGCG